ACAATACTACAAAGACAGGCTGGAAAAATGTAGAAGACATCCTTACTGCTTGGTTCCCCATCTTAGTAAGATCTGAGTTTTTCCCTAGAGTCGGATGGAAAGTCAAAGTGCCTCATGCTTCACTATTAAGACAAAATCTCCATCAACAGAAACATCCATGGTTCAGTTCCACTGTTTTTGCTCTTCCTGCTTCTACCCACTCTATTCCACTTGCATTAGTGCTGCCGTTATTGAGGCAGGGTCTCTTTAGCACAGGCAGTCCTTAAACTCACCATTGTTCGGAGGAAGATGTTGAGCTTCTGATCTTCCTGCCTCCATCGCCTGAGTACCAGATTGCAGGCATGTAGCCTGAGGCCTGTTATGCAGTGCTGGAGCTCAAACCCAGGGCTCCTTGCATGCCAGGTGAGAACTGTACGTGAGTGTAGCCTACTTACCCCTCCCATTAGTGGGATTCTTAAACACTCATGTTTTGACAAGTATTTATTTTTACATTAGAAACAGGGATGGGAAATGCCATAAAACAAGACCAATCTCCATTCCTATGTGTGTGTGAACAAGGATGAATGCTTACATCAAAGCTGTGGCTTGAAACCATGATTTAACCCAGTTTGTTAAACGTTGACAACTATTAAATACAAGGATTAAGATACTTTGTTTCAGGCATGTTTTATCCCACCCTGATTATTTAATCAAAGTAGCGAGCATGCCCCCCCCCCACCGCCCCAAGCCTGATGATTTGTGGGCATGTGTTCCTGTGTCTCTGGAGACCAGTGGTCACCCTCAGATGTTGTTCTTCAGGTGCCTGACCTCTTGTTTTGAGACGGGCAGGGTCTCACACTGGCTTGGAGCTTGCCAAATAGATTAGGTTGATCAGTGAGGGGTCACCTAGCTTTGCCTTCCCAGTGCCCAGATTATAAATATGCTCCTCAATGCTTGGCTTTAAAAAGATTTTATTTTTAAAAAGTGTGGGTTTATGAGTGTGTCCCTGAGTAGGTGTGTAAAAGTGAGTACTGTGTCCACAGAGGTCAGAAGAGCATGTCAGATCTCTGGGAGCTGGATTGCAGATGACTGGGAGTGGCCTGATGTAGCTACTGGGAACCAAACTGAGGTTCTCTCCAAGAGAGACAAGCACTTTTAACATCTCTCCAGTTCTGCTTCACCCCCAACCCCTCAAAGGCAGGCTTTCACCAAGTTGGTATGGCATATTTCTTTAGCATTGTCTTAGGGTTTCTGTTGCTGTGAAGACACTGTGACCACAGCAACATTTAACTGGGGTGGCTTACATTTTCAGAGGCTTAGTCTGTTGTCATTGTGGTGTGACCTGGTGGCATGCAGGTAAACATGGTACTGGAGCTGGGAGTCCTACATCCTGATATGCAGGGAACAGGAAGTGGTCTGAGACACTGGGAGTGGCTTGAGCATATATGAGCCCTCAAAGCTCCCGCTCCCGTCTCCACAGTAACACATTTCCTCCAACAAAGCCACACCTACTCCAACAAAGCCACACCACCTAATAGTGCCACTCCTTTTGGGGATCATCTTCTTTCAAACCACCCCTAACATAAAGGCCAGTTCTTACCTTGGCCTCCTGGTATAAACACAAGACTACCTACGAACATTAACCTCAGCAATACTTAAGTATGTTTGGGATTTTGAGGCCCAGCCTTGGGGTCACAGAGGAAGATGCATTCTTGTTGGACCAGCCAGAGCTGGGGAGACTTACAAGTAGGTAGTGTTTCATCGGCTTTATCATCACCCCCTTACCTCAAATGATGAAAGTCTTAAGAGAATATCTTTGAGGGCTGAGAGACGAGAGCAGCCAAGCAGTCAGACTCCCAGCTCTGCACGCTGGAGCTTCTCCAAGTACCAGCTTTCTCATCCACACAACGTGGGCATCAGAACTTCCTTGTGGGCTGCGAAAACTGAATGAAAGAATGGTCACAGAACTTTTGACCTAATGACCCATAAATGTCAACCATTCAAATCACTAAAGGCCAAGCAGTTCTCGGGAGGAGCCACCTGCTTTGCCCTCTTTTCTGTGCTAATGTCTTCTCTCTTCCCTGCCTGTGGTGGGGGTTTGGGGGTGCGGGGTGGGGGCTGGCTGACTGGATACAGTGGTTATTCACACTGTGGTTTCCAGTGTGTTCAGTTAGAGATGGGAAGGAAAGGGTGGTAGCAAGTTGATTCCCAATCTGGCTCCTTCCTTACAAAGCTCCTCAGATGGTGTGGAGATCATGTTTCCTAGCAGGGAGTCCTCTCTGGTTTCAGTCCCCTGCTAGCCTTGCTCCTCCCAGCTGCCAGGTGCCCTCCCAGCTCTGAGCCTGACCATTTTTGAGGAGTTTCAGGCCAGCCTGCGCTCACTCTCTACTCAAGTCCTGGAATTAGGTGTTTTCTGCAGCTGCCGGCTGAAAACCAGGCATGGTATCACTAAGACTGCCTGGGTGAGGTCTGACTAACAGATTTTAAAGTGGAGAGGGAAAGGACAGGAGGAAGTGACCCAGCCAGCATTTGAGAGCACACCAAACCATCCAGGAATGATGCTGTAACTGCAGGGCTAGGACCACGTTGGTCAACCTTGGCGTGTCTGACAGTCAGACTTATGATTGATTCTCCCTTCTCAGTACAATTTCACCTTTGGAAACGAGCTGCCCAGCGGAACATGGGATTTTTCCCATCATTAGTAGATTCCTATCAGTTTTCTTTAACAGTTGCTCAGCCATTGGCTTATACTACAATTTGCCAAGAACAAAGTATGCCACTGCTCAGGTGTATCGGGCTCTGGACAAATACACTGCTTGAGTGTTTAGCCAGTTTCAAAGATATTGTATTACATCGGGTTCCTCAGTTAGGTCAATAGTGTCCCGAGAAGCAACCGCTAAGCTGTGCCTTTCTGGAATTTTGACTATTCTGGGCTTTGCATTTAAGTGTAATTGTATAATAGCTAGTCTTTTGTGTCTGACTTTGCTCACTGTATTTTGAAGGTTCGTTCATGTAGTACTAGGCCATCAGCACTCTGCCTTTAACTACTGGTCCACTGTATGAAGAAACACACATTGAAGCAAGGCTTGGGCACTGGGAGTAGTAGAAAGCTACCTTTAACTACTGTATGCCTAATACTATGAACACCTGGGTACCTATTTTGATTCTCTTGGGTTCTGTGATGGTTGCTATTGACTTGAGAGGATCCACAAACACCAAGTGGGCTAGGTTCTGGGCATGTCCTTGAGGGGAGCTCCCATTTCATCTCTGCAGGAGGTGGCTATCCTGCTGTCCCTGTGTGAGTGACACCTGCTTAAGGCTCTTCTTCCAAGGAACCATTTCAACAAGTTAATTGCCAACAAGCTTTTATCCTGTTGGGTATCTGGGACCTTTCTGTTCCCATGAATCCTGGGACCCCTTGGCAGTTAGCCTGGCAGCAGCTGCCTGCTCCTTAGGGACCAGAGCTGGGGGCCCTGCATTTTTTTTTTTTTTTCGAGGCAGGGTTTCTCTGTGTAACCTTGGCTATCCTGGAACTCACTCTGTAGATCATGCTGGCTGGAACACTGCATTCTAATGTCCTTTATTGAACTTCCCATTATTTATGTCTTAAACGTCCCTATTTTATAGTTTGCAGTGTTGGGAATTTATTTTGTTAAAATTTCAGGTCTACTATTCTTTTGCTGCTACTATAAGGGGAATTGTTTCATTTTCTTAGACTGCTTACTGCTCGTGCAGTCCTGGATTTATTTATACTGGATTTTTGAACCATGTAACCTAGCTCTGTTTTTTCTTCAGGCTTATCCTTTCAGTGCTAGAGAGTAACTTCCAACCATTTTTAACCAAAACTATTCTGCCTGAGGCATTGTTTTTCGGACAAAATTATCGGCTAAAATTTTCAATCTTGAGGGCAAAAATAAACACCTTTGTATTTCCCCAAAAGTGAAACTTTAGCTGGGGACATATAATCTGGCTCACGAAATAACATTTGCTCAAATTTGCGTTTCTGTAATTGTTACGTCAGCCATATCTTCTGCAGTAACTCAAAGCGGGGAGCCACAGCCACAGCCCTACTTGGCCAGTCAATTTCCTTCTGTGCTCTGTGCACTGTTCAAACACCACACACAGGCAGTACCTGAGGGTTCGGAGTAGCTGGGAGCTGCAGCTTTACAGGCTTCCTGATGGCACCTACTCAATCACAGGTCACTTCCTCCCCACTCTCCCACCTAGGTCAGATGAATTTCTGGTTATTTCCCTGGCATAACAGACGATAGGGTTTTTTAAAATTCCACTTATTCAATGTGTGTGGATATACATATGCTATGGTATGCACGGAGGTCAGAGGATACCATGTAGGAGTTGGCTCTCTCCCTCCTTCATGGAGATCTGGAGGATCAGACTCTGGCTGTTTTTAGGCTTGGCAGCAGTAACCTTTACCCACCAAGCCATCCTGTTGGCTTTTATTTGGGTGTTGAGCAGTGAAGATTTCTTTGCATTTAGAGACAAGCAGAAAAGCCTTAGCTTTGGGAGGAAAGGACTCTAGACAAGAAAAAAGAAACGCTGAAAAGAAAAACAAACAAAAAACCAGTAATAATGAATTGGCAAAGGAGGCAATACAGCCAGCCAGGGGCTGGGGAGAGGGCTCAGTGGCTGAAACACCTGTATTGCAAGCAAAAGGATCTGAGTGTAGAGCCCTAGACCTCAACATAAATACTGTGTGGGTGGTGGCTTGCCTGTAATTCCAGGTCTGGAAGGCAGGGGCAGGGGATGCCCACAGCAAGCTGGCTAGTATGACTAGCCTTATCGATGTGCTCTGGGATTGACTGTAAAGCCTTACCTCAAAAATAATACAGCAGAGACACAGCGGAAGATGCTTGAGATAAACCTTGGGATTCCACAATGCATACAATGTGCACACACATGTACACCCCACACATGAGGATGCAGACACATGCATACCCACCATACACACAGGCACAAAGAAAAAATAAGGCAAGCTGAAACATCTAACAGATAACTTGACATTTATTGTGCAATTTTATCCCCAACAGAACATGTGGCATTCTAGAGGTATATGAGGTAAGAAAATCAATATTCCAATTAGAACACCTGAAATAATTAGCTCTAGTAACAAATGTCTTTTATAATTAAAAATATTGAATGTTTAAAAAACTCTTATAACATTTTAAGTTCCTAAAAGAAATGGCCTAACACTTAAAAAACAACTTATTCTTCTATATAAATTGTTCACAAAATTTTTTGCTATTCTATATTATACTATGAATTTTAGCTTTATTAACATATCCCTAGTGTGTATGAATTCCACACAGTACAATCAAATAGAAATTATTCAGAGAAGCCACAAGACTCCAACAATAAAAATATTAGGATCAATGGATTTGTCACAGTTTCTCCACAAGTATTCATCATAGAAAATAGAATAAAGGCAACTGGCCCCAGCATTAGCTGCAACACGCCATTCTGCAGAGGAGAGACATGAAGGCGAGGCTTAGCCTGGGCAGGGTCAGGCTGGACAGTGACCAAGTTCCCTGCCTCCCTCCAGCAGCGTTTGCTCCCAAGAGGCACAAGCCGGGCCCCTTGTGGCTTTGGCATGCTCTCAAAAGATGTTAAAGCTAAAACTACAGGGGCAAAATCAACAGGTCACTATATTCTTTACACAACCTCCTCTACAGCCCGCACGGTGACGGTGTCAGCTGAACCTCCTGTTTCACCAAACTCTGTCACCAGGAGGCTGCAAAACCAGCCACACAGAGATGGGAACACTGGCCAATACCCACTGCTGTCACCATGTGTTCCCCAAGAGGATCTAGTCTTAAAACAAAACAAGTTTTCTTTGAAGCCCCTGCATCTTTGCACAGGGACCTGGAACACAGTAGAAGGGAACTAGACTTCGACGTATCCATTTCCTTGAGTTTCTGGTCTCCTTCACAGGTTGTCAAGCAGGCCATGACTCATGCCAGCCCCCTGAGAACTCCTGGAGGCCCGAGTGTCACATACCTGTTATCTAAGCACCTGCACACCTCCAAAGCAGATTTAGTGATATAAACGGCAGCTTTCCCTCGACAGCATCAGATAAAACAAAAATGTTCACTCTGAAGCGTTGGCTGACTTCGAGAACCATGCCTGACTGGGGCAAACAGAAGGGGTCATTCTGCTTACTGAGCTCAAAGTGACCTCCAGTGAGCACCCTGGGCAGTGACCGCTTAGGGCAGCTGTGAAGGGTGCATTAAAGTGCTTATCGAAGCAACTAGCACACAGGGAATCGAGAGTTACGCTCAGGTAGCGGGAGTTAACTATTGCTACGGGAGTGATCTCCGGCGGGACCAAACTGTTTTGCAGCATGGCAAGGAACACGGGCTGCCTGGATGGGTGCCACTGTTCAGAGTGACCCAGGTTTTCAAATGGGTCTCGCTAGCAGATGTACTTTTACTGCAGTTTCGGAAACTGTGATCCAATGAGAGCACAGACCTCACAGCCAGTTATGGAAGCTCAGAAGCCAAGTTTTTGGTGATTTACTGCCTTCAACAGTCAAGACTGACAAAGTCAGTCATCAAATGCGAGAATTCCAGTTCTCAGTATTTCCCAAGGTTCAATATACTATGGAGAGTACAAGCGGCCTCTAATGCGTAAATGCATCAGCTAAAGCTTTAAACTTTACTTTTAAAAAAGTAAGTGGTGATGGGTACTATTTTTGTCCTCCACATTGCTGATGTCAATTCGTCCCTCTCCTGTAGAGACAGATACACACATACACACACACACACACGCCACAGCTTTGTGAACAGCTAAGTGACATCTTCCTCCAGTGTTTCAATGTTATTCTTATCCAGTACTTATATGACTGAAAGAAGCCACCACCATGTTTACAAAAATATACCACACCGACACACACTGCTGTTTCAACACATTTGCATCAGAGTTGTGACTCAAGCATCCCTCTTGACGTGTTTGCCAAGCAGCGCTGGCAAGTGTCGCCACATTAAACACACACCAGCAAGCCTCACACCGTATGTGCAAAACCATTTTCTATCACATTTCTCCAGATCCGCATGTGAATGCTGTCCCAGACGAACACAGACCTGTGCTGTGACAGGTACAGCACTGACCGAAGAAACCAGACATTTAAAATCTTCTAAGTCAACAAAAAATGACCTTTCAACCAAAACCGATAACCGGTCTATACAGAAACTAAGGAGGTAGTCAGGGGTGTCAGGGTTAGCCTAGAGTTTATACTGAATAATATTCAACTCCCTGCACCGCAAAACAAAACAAAACAAAAACCAACAACAAAGAAAAACCTTAAAACAACAAAAAAACCAAACCGAAACACAGAGCCCATATGAGGGCAATGAGTGCCCGTGTTCTGGACATGGTGCACATCTCCCCATGGAGCCCCATCTACTTCTCAGCTGCAGAAGTGAGGCACAAGCCATTAAATGGCAGGGGTATGGAGAAATCACAGACCTGCAGATTCCTAAGTTTGAGTTATTGTTTAGATTTTGTGTAAACATCTACTATTTCAAGAATCACTACTGGACTGAAAATAATAAAATCCTATTGCTATCAGTGACCATAACCTGATGCCATGGAGAGTAGCTGTGTCAAATACAACTGTAATCACATGTCTCCTTGTCCTCCTGATGAAGGCCTCTCCTCGCAGTGCTGGTCACTGATGAAGGTCAGGGACGACACCTGAACCACCCACCGACTACAGTGGTGACATGCATCCCTCCACACCTGACCAAGAGATGACGGCACTCTCGCACTCCTGTGCCCTTTGCGACCTTTTCAGGGAAGCCTTTTAACACACAGTGAAAGTCCCCCAAATGCTGGGACGGACGAGGAACAAGATTAAGGGCAGAAACGTTTTCAAGCAAAAGAAGCTCCAATTTGAAATGTTTCAGTTTTCTAGATACCATGACAGACTGAACACTGCACCCACAAAAGGGCCAGTGAGAAATGCGACCTTATCAAATGCTCATAGAACAGCGCTCCCCTGATGGGTCATTCCAGGGTCATCCTCCTCTTGGCAAGATCTGTGCCTGAGGAGCTAATCACTGTGAGAAGCAGGCATTTTAATTTGGAAAAAGAAAAATACACCAGGACAACGTTCACTATTAACCACAGAGCTTGATAGCTGGGACACCAGACCTACCTAATCACTGACAAAAACATCACAGTTAGTCACGCCAGCCTGGCGACCACATTGTTCTCACAATGACACGGCGGCACAGCTGCATCTGAGCCGTTTTTAACTCAAGTCTACTTCAAACCAACGCTAAATGATTCAGGGTAATTCTACAAGTTGACAGAGGACGAAGTTTTGTGTTGGGGAGCAATGTGTCTGACTGCCAGAATGATGTGGAAAATCAAACCAAGCTGACGGGCAACATTCTCAGACCTCCAAACATAAAATCAAAGGCTTGTGGGGAAATGGGGGCAGCCGGATGAATGGTGAGCTCTGAATCCCTGCCAGAGATGGCACCTTTTGCAGCTGATTTAACACTTGGGTGACCACAAAGGAAACCACCATGACCTGAAGAGCAGCTTTACTACCGAGCAGTAGCAGCCTTAAATGGACACACACTAGAGCAAAGGGCCAGCAGAGCACCGAGTCAGGTCTAAGCAGCTGCCGGCTCGATTCAGGCAGTGATCTAAGCTAAAGAAAACAGCAATCACACAGGGGCTGAGGACTGCAGGTCCTGGAGCCCAGCACAAAGGGAAGATGGGAAGGCAGAGGAGGTGATGGCAAGCTCCCCACAAGGTTTTATGGCATCGGACATTTCCGAGGACAGAGTGCCCAGACCTTTGATCACACATTAAGAAATACACCTTCTCTTGGATGGAAAAGGCACCGCTCTCCCCTATTGTAAATGACAGTTCATTTACTCAATTTCTTTTGCTTCTAAACTGCTCAGCTGGTTTGTTCAAACTCTGACACTAAATATTGAATATATTGTGAACATATTGTGATTTTTGACAAAACTGGCCTCCCCAAGAGCCCCTTTCCTAAATGGATAGTCTGAATTTCTATCCCAATTTCAAAGCTCTTCACTGTGTTCATAGATGACATTCACGATCTTCAACAAAGGCTGCCCATTTAGCTCTTGGTTCCACAAAGAACACAGTCATCTTGACTCGTCTGGTAAAGTGAGTCTCTCATGTCCACAGTTCAATCCTTATCAGACACAATTACAGCACCTCTGTACCCTCTGCTGGGAAGTGGCTCCCAGGGCACCGCTACTCTCACATGGATCCCACAGATGAGCCAGGCAAGCACAACAGTTAACTGAGAGCTCAGGCTGCAGAGGACTAGCGAGGAAAGCAGAGGCACGGCTGGATGAGGCGTGTTCATCCATGACGACGGGAAAGAGAAGTTTCATACATTCTAAACTGCCACTCAGTCCAGAAAGGTCCTCCAATTTCAGAGAACTCACCACCAAGCCACCGCACAGTTGTCAGAACGGCCTTGAAGCTGCATGTCTGTCTGCAATGCCTGACCCCTGGTCAGCAGCGGATGCTATCAGTCACAGCCTGGGCTTGCTCTTACTCAACAGCTAGCTGGTGGGAATTCTCACTGAACCCACTACTGGCACTGTGCTGACTTAAGGCTATGGAAGATGTGCATCAAGGAACTTAGGAAATGAGGCATTGGAAAACGGTTCTGAATCTCTGGATGTTCCTAAAGATGTAAGGGAAATCTCGCACTCGTAAGCCACAGAATCAGGCTGTCTTTCTGGTCGGCACAGTGAGTTTTGTCTAGAAGATAACAGAGAAGTAGCTGACCTCAACTGAACAGACACGGCCTCCGTTCTGTGGCTTCTAATATATGAACGCTTACAGTGTCCCCTATCCTGCGTCTTTGCTGAGAACTCTGAATTCAAGTCTTTGGAAAATCAAAAGACAAAAACTTAACTTGAATTAAATAAGAAAATGCTTGTTGCTAGTCCCTTAAAACAAGTCTGTGTCTTTCCTTCCCCCACGTGCAGGAACACTAACTGAACCTTCCCAGGAGACCAGCTCTGCTCAGGAGGCCAGACTGACCTGAAGACTTGGGACAGGAGACACCCTCAATGTCTAGTTAGTAATGACTTATGTCAACTGTACCTTTTCCTTGGTGATATAATACACCCCACATCTACTGCAGGTGCCAGAGACATCCCAGAAAACCCCAAAGTGGATTTCTATTTGGGAACTGTGGCAGTGGGGCAGGGGTCTGACAGAAGGACATGCTTTGGACTCTAGGGTGACAGGAAATGGACATTCACAACTGGAGCTCTTAACAAAACAAAAAACATAACACAAAAACACCACTGGGAGGGTGAAGATTCTGTCCACTAGTCCCCAGATCCATCCTGTGAACTCTTGTTGAAGACCTCATCCTGGGACGCCTGGTGATCCATGCCTTCGTAAAATGAGCCACCGTTGTGCAGGAAAGTTCCCACTGCCCGGCCCTGTCGGGCGTGACCCACAGCATCGCTGAACACTTTGTTTATCTGCTCCTCCGAGGGCATCCACCAGTCAGGGTTGGAGGTACAGTGCATCCTAATGAATTCTGCGGGAATACAAAGAACAGTAAGAGAGCGGAAACAGCTGGTCTTTTGGTGGATGACGACACAAAGGCTCTCCTCTCCCAGGAGCACTATAGAAAGGTTACTTGGAGGGGACCAGTGCGATGCCATGACAGTGTCGTTCACTCCAACCCACCTACCCCACACCAGTGCTCCCAGGGCAAGAGCAGAGGCCACCCGAACCCTCTAGGGACTATATGCTGTTGAAAACAAAGGTGAATGTCTTCCTCCACTGCTCTCTGCCCAGCTTTCTATCTGGATCCTGGGGATGAATCAGACCCTCAAGCTATTCCACAAGCCTTTCACCTACTGAGAATCATTTCCCCAGAAGGGACACAGCTGGTTCAGTTTTTATTACTTTGGCTCCACAAATAAGAAGTCCAAGCCCAACACTGCCTCTTGGTGAGCAGTTCTACCTACCACCTTTGATGTTGTTGGGAATAAAAGAAATTATGACCAATTCGTTAAATAAGTTAGATTTTAGAAACTCCCACCAGCTGGTCATGCAAAGTTTCTGGATTTTTTGGATTGGTCCACAGGATCGCTTTACAGCATGGACACTGGTTAATGACTGGCAGCGGCTTCCCCAAGCATGGGGGGCACTTGCATCAGAATCATCTAGGATGGTTGAGAGCCAAGCATGCACCAGCCCTTCAATTTGTGCTGAACAGAATCTGTGGGGTGAGCTAAAGACCTCTAGCTGCTCCCCAACAGGACATGTGTACTTTGGCAGCAGGAGTTACAGAGCGCCAACATCTAAGAGAAGGCTGCATCCTGGGGTGAGCACAGAGACAAGCTTTCAATCACCAAAGCCTTCTAAGCAGCATCTAGGTATCTCTGTCTGTCTGTCTATCTAACTGAATGTCTGTGTGTCTATCTACCATCTAATAAACTGTGACTTTCTCACCAGACAGGAAAAATTTGGATGCCTATCCAGACTAAATCAACATGTCTTTCTGGTCAATGAAATTAGTACTGGACTATGAAGGGTCTTCTGGTGTGCTTTTTGCTTTGTGTTCCAGGACAGACAGTGTTCTGGTGGCCCTATCATGTTTCTACTTGTCTGTGCTGGAACCTGTTCCATCAACTGCTAGTTCCCCAACCTTCGCCTGACTGCAACTGTGGAGACCAAAGCAATCACCTAAAATACTGACAAAACTGTGTCACCTAAGCAGAATTGTTAACATGGAAGCGCTTTCTTCCTTCCTTCCTTCCTTCCTTCCTTCCTTCCTTCCTTTCAACAAAACAAAACAAAACAAAACAAAACAAAATAAAAAACTTGAAAAGGTTTATGGGTAACGTCTATTTCTGATATGCTTTGCATCTAGAGAAACAAGTCAGATGAGGCCCACGGAAGCAAGACCCCCTTTTTACCAATGCTCTCTCCCTGTATGGATCTCCCTACGCTCCAGTTTTGCTGAATGCGGCCTTCTCTGGCAGCAAAGAAAATCTGAACTGAAAGCGTGAAACATGAGGTGCTATGCGATGCCTTTACCAGTATGTGAAAACGAGGCAAAAGCAAAGAATCGTTCACAGAGCTTTTCAATGCCAAGTAGATGGGCCACATGAAGCTTAGGAGGTCTTGGTGCAAAGATTGAAAAAAAATAAAAATACAGTAACGGCTGAACACTTGTGTGGGGAGCCACAGCCAATGCAGTGAAATGGGATCACGGATGGCGACACTGAGGGGAGGGATGCAGTACCTCGAAGGCATGTGACTTTAACTGGATCCAGAGGGCGTCTTTCAGGACCTGTCTCTCCTGACTGAACTGACCTTTTCCTTTTCCCAAGGCCGCATGAGTACTTAAGCTCATCGGTTGTGAAAACAAATCTGATGAGGTATCGGAGGAGCCGCCGCCCGTCTTTCTTGGAAGAATTTACAGCCTCATCCCACTGTTTGCTCGTTATGTAGACAGGATAGTTGTTCAACAGCTGCTTGCTTCCCTGGAAAAGGAAAATATTTTCTCATTACCTACTGAGCCAGCCAGCCAGAAGCCAAATGATCTCCATTTCAAAGGCAAACATGCTTTTAAACCAAGTGGCTACACTGACAATGAACCGGGCATTGAAGAGCACAAGTAATTGCTCACACTCAGAACGGGCACTTTTCAAATTACATTTGCATTTTCTATAACAAGAGCCAATGAGGTATAATGAACACCTTTGAAAGAGGAGCTATTTATGACTCGCATTTTAACAGGTAGGTTAAAATGTGTCAAGATCCAATGACAGGGAACACTCTTTAAATATAACCCGTAACTTTCCCTTTCAATCTATTAAATATGCAAAAACGACTTTGAAGAGTGGGATCAAACAGGTCCCTTCATCCTCCGGCTGCCAGTTAGGTTCTCGAGAAATGCTGCCGACAGTCTATTTTAATAGGCATTACTTGTGTTTAAGGCACCTAACACGTGACTGTCATTGTGTAACAGTGAAAACATGAAAAGAATGGGTTTAAAAAGAGAGACCAGAAAAAAAAAATAATGCAAAACAGCTTTTCTCAAATTGTAGCTTCTGCAAATACCAATGTGTCAACTCAAAAATCTTACTTTTCACTTCATAATTTATGTCTGCTGTAAAATTCCCAAGCTCAACAGCTGCAGTGGGACTAATTACGGGGACTTCTGTAGCATTTACAAGCCGCGTTTAGTCACTCGCACCCATGTAACCATTACTTTAGTTCTGGCTGTCCATAAAATTCTACAGTCCTGGAAAAATTAATTAACCCATGATCTCAGTTTTAATGTACTTCTTCCCCAGTAATTAAGGTGTACAGAATTAAAAAAAAGGGGGGGGGACTCATTCAGTTTTACAACTCTGAAAATTTACTACAGGTTATAAATTTGGCACTGTTTGGGTCTGCCAGGGTTTGATTTCAAACCTGCTTGCTTAGTGAAGCGTGGAGAAGGTATGGTATAAAAGCCAGCAGGGCCGTGAGGACTGCACTGGACCAGCACACAGCCACTCACAGTACACACAGAAACTCCTTTCTTCAGCATCGTCCTGAAGGGGACGCTGGGACTTGGTTTCCTTTAAGGAAGGCAGTTGTGGTTATGATCTGTGCACTGAATTTACAGACAGGTTAGCTTTAAAATGCACTGGGTTCTATGTCCTGAACTTGCTGGAGTGGCTGTAGGTGGTCAACAGGTGGCAGCATACAAAGCCTTGGCTCTGGGACCTTGAGCACGTGTGTGATAAGAAATCAGGAGTCCAGGGTCCACAGGTTCTTTCAGCTGCCCTTAAGTAGGAGGTGGTCAGAGTACAGTCTGGGGCAGTGTATGGAGGAAGGAATGAGGAGCCAGGCCAGCAATCTGGTTAGCCAGGCTGTAAAACACAGATTCCTATTGAGTGAAAGGGTGCTGAGCTTCATGGCTGATGCAGGAGGGAAAATACCTCACTGCTTTCTCATGGACAGGGGCTTAGTGGATCTCCACAGAATGACCTTTCAACCCAGACAGTGGTGGAACCTGAGGTGGGCAGACTCCAACCTGGCTCAAGTCCTTTAATAACCGCTGCACTCTTTACTGACCAACTGATGAGCAGTCCAAGGCACTGCCCCAGGTAGTGCAATTATAGTGGGGGTAAGGACAGGGAGGGGCTGGCACTCGAGAGATGGCTCAGATGTTAAGAATGCGGATCGCTCTTCCAGAAGGCTGGGTTCAATTCACATGGTAGCTCAGAACCATTTGTAATTCCAGTTCCAGGGCCTGAGGGAACTATGTAAACACATGGTCCACATACATACACGAAAATAAAACACCCCCTTTACGGTCAGTTCAGTTCCCGTGAACACATTCATCATCAACCTTAGAAGAAAACTGCACAGCTACTTCTTGAATTGTTTATTTTCTCAAGACTACTACATCATCACCATCCTATATACGTGTTTCCCTGGGGTTGGAGTGCGTTGGTTCACTGAGATTGTAGCCTTTTCCAAAGGATCACAATTCTTAAGTGGGGTGGGATAGGGAAAGGCTGAATTTTCTGTTCATCCCTTAATGATGTGGGAGTGTCATATATCAATCTGTTGATTTCATTGGTTAAGCAATAAAGAAACTGCTTTGGCCCTCATAGGTTAAAACATAGGTGGGTGGAGTAAACAGAACAGAATGCAGGGAGAAAGAAGCGGAGTCAAGGAGTCGCCATGATTCTCCCACTCCAGACAGACTCAGGTTAAGATCATTCCTGGTAAGCCAGTTTGTGGGCTACAGCAGATTATTAGAAATGGGCTAGTCCAGGTGCGAGAGCTAGCCTAGAAGAGGCAAGATAGAAATGGGCCAAGCAGTGTTTAAAAGAATACAGTTTCCGTGTAATTATTTCGGGTAAAGCTATCTGTGTGGGCGGCGGGGTGCCGGGGACGCAGCCCCGCCGCTCCTAATTACAACACCTTAATACTGAGTTGTGCCCCTAAACTGTGTCTATTTCAGGAGGAGGGTATCTGTGACTAGGTAGCTGACAATCCAAGACAGGTATTTTTCACATCTTTGAGAAAATCTTAGAAGAGTCCTGTGCAATTCTAAACCACAGCAGATCAACATAAAACATGGGTCTCATAAAATGCAGAATTACCATTAGGAGGTAATTTTCATCAAGAACCAGTAATTTATAGCCCCAAACATAACTCAGGATGCCTTGTGGGTTATGGATGAGAGTTATAATCCTGCTTTAGCATAGTTAAAAGGAATAAAATGTGATAAATAATAAAAATGAGAAAATTCTCAGGTGCCTGAAATGACAATAAAAACAGTATAGTAATAATGATAATGACAGGCAATGAAGTTTAAATAGCCCTTTCCAAGGGAACACAGGCAATCCTCCCTCTGTCCTTACTCATTTGTTGGGGGGGGGTATGAATGCACTCATGCCTAGAAACATGGAGGGCAGGGTTCAATGCTGGGGTTCCCGAGCGCTGGGATTAAAGCCTTACAGATGTGTACCACTTCTATCTTTGAGACAGGGTCTCTCACTGAACCAGGAGCTCACAGACTGACAATGCTGACAGGTTAGCAAGCCTGTCCCCACCTTTGCTGTGTGGCTGGTTAGAGCCACATGCCACAAAGCACACCTGGACTTCTAGGTGGGTGCTGGGGCACCCCACGTGTACTTTCTCAGCGAAACCGTCCTCATCACCCCCTCTTCTATTTCAGTTAGCCACACTTCAGTTAGCCACAGGCAGGGAGGGGCATCAGAGACATTTCCTAGAGAAAGTACGTTTCACGTGTGTTTCAGACAAACATGGTCTTCAATTACGGATTTTAATATAGGCTTGATCTTGAATTTAGAAAGACAACTTTGTTGTGCGAAAAGAGAGTGCTAAAAGGCACCAAGAGTAACCAGAAAGGAGAAAATTAACATGGAAGGTTGGGAATAAGAAGTAACCCAGTGCCAGGGCTGGCGCTCCGCCTGGGTGCGAGGACAGGTTGGGTACTGGAGCAGTCTGTGCAGAGCGAAGAGGGTATGGACATCCCCAGACAGCCCGAGCAGTGAATAGTGATGCTGGGGACCTTTCAGCCTTCAAATGGCATGGAAGGGGGAGGCGAGCATGTGGAGGAGGAAGGCACCATAAACTGACTGACACAGTAGAGAACAAGATGGAAGGCAAGAACCCAGGAACAATGGATGAAAGTCATGAGCACGAAGCGCAGGGGCCAGAAGACAGCGCTGACACAAAGACCATGGAAAGGGCTCCTGGACCAGACACCCAGGAAAGGCGAGGAGGTGGGGGTGGGTGAGGTGTGGGGTTTCCTGCAGATCACTCGGAAATGGTGAGGGTAGCGAGGTTATAGGGTGGGAAGGTAATGGAAACAGTGCAGATCGTACAAACAGTTCTTAGACGTGTTTAATCATTTAAAAATGAGTCATCATTTGGAAAGCATGATCTGAGAATCCCAGAGGCACGAAGGTGCTAACGGGGATGAGGAGAGTTTACGAGCTGTGTGGTGGCCTGGCATGGGAAGGCTGCAGAGGGTGCTTTGGAAGCCTGCTGTGATGGAAGAAGGGAGGAAGGAAGCCCAGGAATGAGGAAGAAAGGGGACTCAAAAAAGTCTAAAAAATTCAACGGCAGCAAGTATCAAGTCTGAGCTTTGCAAATTTGTAAAACTGTGTGTGTTCAAACACCCATAGAGTCAGGAGACTGGCTGCTTCTACTGTGGCTCCAAGAAAGAAAACAACTTGTGTGCACTGTCTGGGACAGAATGTTGAAACCCCAGGGAATGAACGCCAGACGCCCCAGAGCAGGCCCAAGGAGAGCAGGGCTCTACCTGAAGGCATGATGGATGTTATCTCCATTTCCCACTTCTCTGCTCCAAAGGAATGGGGAAGACTCGCCTTTGCAATTGAAGGTGCGGATGAACCTTTGTAAATTAAATCCATAGAATATGTGCCCACAGCAACAGACCCACAAACTCCCCCAGTCAGCAATGTGCTTGACCAGCCTATCCACTCCATAGAGACTGGAAACTGGAAGCAGGCTTCACCTGAGGAAATGCCATGTGCATGCCCCTCTTCCCAGAGGCAACTCCTACCTCGGTGGGCTGGTCTGCGGGCTGCGGCAGGAGCTGGTTGTGGTGCAGCAGCACTGTCTTTAGGTAATCTAGGACGGTCTGGCAGGGCACTGTGCGGAGGAACAGAGAGGGCACATGTTAGCTACTTCTCAACATGGGGTCGAACACCAGGAGAAACCATTTATACCCAGGAAAGGAAAAATCAGTTTTCTCCAATAGAGTGAGTGTCAGGGGGTATATCAACCACACTCCAGGGCAGTCCCATGGTCAGGAGCAGGGACCAACACAAAATGAATTCCATGTTTTTTAAATGGATTTTCCATCTCATTTTGTTTTTGTCTTACTGGTCTTTTGCTTGTTTGTTCTGATATTTACTTACTTACTTTTTGGGGAAAAAGAATGAGAACACAAAGTTGGGAGGAGTTGGGGGAGGAGAAATGATCAACACATAGCGCACGAAAAAAAACTTATTAAGAAAATTAATTATTAGGGGAAAATGTCAGGTACTCCCACTTTGTCACGCTGTGCAGAGGGCGTGCCTCTGGCATTCAGTACCAACTGATGAACGAGCAGAAGAGCCCGCCATGGTGTCACACACCTTTAACCCAAATTCTGGGGACAGATGCATAAGGAGGTGAGGTGCAGCCTAGCCTGGGCTATATACTGGGTCTTCTATTGTTTTTTAAAGGCAGCAAAGTTGAGATAGGAATGGACATGTCCTGTGACGTGCATACAGTTCAACCCTTGATTAGCATGAGAACTTCTCACTAAGTAGGATTTTGAATGAACATCCTTTGACCCATATTTGTGCGTTGTGATTAAGGAATTCCAAATTTAAGCACAAAATACTTACAAAGCAATTCATAAAACAGAAAATTCACTCTAACTTTAATGATGTTAAAGATATGTACATTGAAAGAGTAGGAAAGAATTAAGTGTTATTAACAGCGATTTATTTCAGCTGTGGGATTATGCTACTTATGCCTGTTGATTACTTTGTCGTTCTTATTGAAAGTGGTACAGGGTGAGTTGTCCTCTTCTGGCCTCTACAGGCACATGAATGCACACAGCGCATACGCAGAGTGCTACACACACACACACACACACACACAATCATTTTTAAGTTTAAAATATTTGAAATCACCTGTAGATTTCCTGGACTCTGGATGTCCCCTCCCCCCACCTTCCAGGTGTTCCCTAGACCTCTTCCCTGAAAACAGATGTCTTGGCTAGTACCTTTTTGGACACTTGCCTAGACTTACACACAGAAACTGCAGAAACAAGTGAAATGTTTTCTGTGGGAAACCAAACCAAAACCAAAACCGTAAAACAAAACAACCCCCTCTAAACCAAACCAAGCCACCCAAGCCCTTATCAGTCAATCTCGACCTCGGAGGCTGGTGAACTAAAGCCTGAATTAAAGCATCCTGCCCCACAGCTACACCCTCAGACCAGTCCAGGAACAAAGCAAGCCACAGTCAGGAAACTATGCAAAGCCACTCTCAGTCTGACAGTGTACAGCACATAGGAAGAGCGGATCCAGAATTCCCACACGAGGACAGAGCACGTGCAGATGGGAACCAGTGTGCTCTGGAAGGTTCTGTGCATTCAGGGCTGCCTTGGGTTCCTAAGGCCTCTGAAAAGTGGAGAGAGAGGTCGGAGCTCATAGTTACGGAGGTATCAACAGGGTCCTAAGGAGCCAATTACTCCCCCAGAGGATGTAAACGGAATTGCATCCTTGGGCCAATTAAGAATTTAAGCAAACCACTCTGATTAGTGGAGAAACTGTGGCCCCCTGGGCAGGTTTCCTTTGTTCCCTTGGGCAGTCAGCTGATTCAGTGAGGAAATAAACGAGGACTAGAAAGGGACTGTGTGTAGCAGTGCACATCTTCAATGCCAGCACTTGGAAAATGAGGATACCTTTACAAATTCACAAGCTTACAAGGCCAGGCTGAGCTACACAGCAGCATCCTGTCTCATAAAACCAGAGGAAAAAACCAAGATGTACCTAGTGTCCATTCCAACACTGGCGTTTCTAGTGTTCCTGCCTCTACATGGGATTACAACGCTCGTCACATAACCCAAAAACGTGGAAATAGGATGGCTTAACAGGAAAGAGACCCCTGCCCCACCCCTAATTTCTAAGGCTGCTTCATCTACATGGGGGAAAGAGTCAAATACCCACTCAGGGTCCTTACCACAGTGGAAGACCAAAGCAGACTACACTTCTACAGTAACTGTTGGGTACTACTGTTTCAAATGTGCCGACATTGCCAATGAGATCCTGAGCAAGCTACCTCTGAGCTCCTGTGCTCACGCCTGTGAAACTGCAATAATTACCTACTACACAGTTCCTGTGAGGACCGACTGAATCACCGCAAGGGAAACAGATGCAAAGCCTACTGGGAGCCCCCAGCGTTTTAGGAGTAGCAGTCCAATGACCTCCTCAGAGGCATCATAACTTGGCTGCTACTTCAGTGCCCATACTGAGTAAGCCACTCCCACACGGGCCTTTTCTAAAGAAACTGCCGCAGTTTTGGTTTTCCCATATTAAGGCTGAGTGGGTCTCCAGCTAATAATTTTAGTATACCGGTATTATTTAGCCATGTAGCCCAGGTAGGCCTGGGGCTCGCCATCCTCTTGCCTCAGCTTCCTGAATGACTGGTTTACAGCCCCATGCTACCACACCCAGACCTTTCCTCAAGCACTGTTTAATCTATTTTGTTAGTCAAAGACTTCAAACTTCTCAAAATATTACTCAATAGTTTTATAGGAAAGTTGAATTCTTTTGTTACTGACAATCCCAGCAATCTGTTTAATAATCTTCAGTAGCCTAACTGTATCTGTTTCAGTAACATATAATAAGCTCCCGAAGAGAAATACCTCAAACCTGATCAGCATCAGTCCCCTCCAGTTGCCCGGTTGGACTTCTGATAAAGACAAGGCCCTGTTTCAACAGGAACCGCGACTTTAAGACGACAGGCTTTGTCCCTGCCCTAAAGCGTCCTGTTCACCTTATCAGGACATCAGGAGACTACTCTTGGTAAACACAGGCTTGAGAACAACAGGAGTAGAGGCTCCGTGCCTGTGTGCCTGCTGGGAGGTTAGGAAGGCTCTCTGGTGCTGGAGTGTCTTGCTTCAACTGCGTACTGAAGAATGCGTAGAAGCTTCTCAAGAGGGCAGCATATTTTGGGGGTAGGCAGAACAGGGGTCAGATAAAGTGTCTGGTTGCCTAAAAGTCACAACTGTTTAGTGAGGTTGGACACTTGGTGTACTGTGGGCACTGAGGGTTGAAAAGTCTCCAAAGCTGTTCAGGAAGGAAGGAAGCCAAGCACAGTGGTGCCTGGCCTGTAATCTCAACTCTTGTGAGGAGCAGGCAGGAGGGCCAGGAATTCAACATCATCACCTTCAGCTACACAGGTAGTCACAGAACTCTATGCCCCGCAAACAGAAGGTGGGATCGAGGCTCAGAATGGGAAAATGGCCATGGCCGTCAGAGTCACAGCTAGCGAGCAACAGGAGTCTATGGCTGCAGCCACTCTCAGCAGCTTAGGCTGCGCTCCTCACTGGCGGTGCTGTTTAAGGATACAGGGAACTAGTGGGCTTAGCTCTGCAGCTCAGGGACTCCCAACTCCCTCCTGGATTCTGTATTCACAAGTCTGTGTGCTTGCTAAGCTATGTGGGGAACTCCCTAAACTGGAACTTCTTCAAGCCATTTGCAGACTTGCGCAAAGAAGTTTGGAATCTGAGTCGTCTGACAAATGTCCCAGCCGCGATCGCCTTGCTTCAGTTCTTAGGCTGGAAACAAGTGTCTCTGTCACGATTTATTTAGGGATGTTCCTTATATTTCTGTTGGGGAATTCATTTTTAAAATGACCTTCCACTGTAGTGCTGAAGTGCTGACACCCAGAGCATGGAAGAAACAAGGCTACACTTGCTAGCTGAAGGCTCTCAGAGGCCTAAGCTCTGAGTTTCTGCCAGAAGTCAAGCCATCACCATGCTCACTAACCAACCCATTGGCTAATTCAGGATCACATGGCGGTCAGACAGTACAGCTACCCTAACAGTGAGGACTCCGCAGGCTGGACACCGAGTCAGAAAGCTTAGGCAATGAAATCTTCACCACAGCTGCTCTCCCAACTGTGCCCCAACTTCCTTGTCTGTAAGATGAAAAGGATGGCTGACGAGGGGCCCACAGTTAGAATAAACCAAAATGATAGAACTTCTGCCGGGTGCAATGGTCTGTGCCTATAGACCTGGCCATCGGCAAGGGAAGGTGCAAAAATCAGAAATTTCAGGGCTATATATACGAAGCCCTTGTCTCAAAAAGATGAAAGTAGGTTTTTCTTTTTTTCACACAAAGACAGGATCTCACTATGAAGCCTGGGCTGGCCTGGATCTCTCTATGTAGATCAGGCTGGCCTTGAACTAAAAGAGGTCCATCTGCCTCTGCTTCTCCAGGGTTGGAATTAAAGGTGTGTTCCATCATGCCTGGCAGAAGTAGAGATTTTTATAAAAATACTAGCAATATTAATACTGGGAAAAACTAAATTTTTTTGTATTTTTCAAAGATTTATTTACTTTTATTTTGTGCATGTGTATGCATCTGGGTGAACAATGACAAGCACGCTGTGATGTCTGTACCAGCGCTGCAGCTCGGGAGGGGGTTGGGCCCCGGGAAATGGAGTTACAGACAGCTGTGAGCTACCCCAACATGGGTGCTGGGAACTGAACCTGGGTCCTCTGCAAGAACTTCTGAGCCATCTCTCCAGCCCCGGAAACTGAATTTTCACATGCAAAAGAAATTAAGACTGAAAACTTATTATCATAAACAAAAATCAACCACTAAATCATATAAGACCATAAACATTAAAAACTACAGAGGAGACCTAAATATAAGAGCAGAAACTATAAAATTCCTACCAGAGGAAGGTAGCTCAGCCAATAAAATGTTTTCCTTACAGACACGAGGACCTGGCTCCAGCTCTAGCACCCATGTGAAAGGCTAGATGTGGTATCCTAAGAAGGATCCCTGGGCTGGTGCACTGGCCAGCCTAGACTAAATATGAACTCCAGGCCAGTGAGAGGCCCTCCCTCACTCCCTTCTCCGTCCCACCCCTTCCACACAGTACAGGCAAGAGCCAGGCACAGCAGTACACATACATATATGATCTCAGGAATTGGGAGGTTGAGGATCAGGAGTGAGACTGTTTCAAAGAGGATGGGCAGGTGGGGACACAATACATATTTCTCCAAAGACTTAAAAATATCCAAAATGCAGTCAATGACAGGTGCTCAGAGATCATTAACAAGGAAAGCAGAACTCGAACCCACCGTCAGGCCATCTCAGAGCCCTTGGCATGGGCATCACAAAGCCAGACGATACCAAATGTGTCTGACGAGGGTGTGGAGAAAGGCAATCCTAGTTTACCGCTGGTGAGGATGACTACTGTCCTCACGATGCAGATAAAATCTCCACCCGTGATCACACTGTGTTCACTGCGACATGGGAATGACATGACTTTACGGCAACAGAAAAAGAGGCCAAGGGAAGTGGAGTATTAGTCATGTCTGATACAGTCTGCTCTTAATTTTTATTTTGTATGTGTCTGCCTTCATTGTGTGTATCACATGTGTTCCTGGTGCCCATGAGGGCCAGAACAGGGAGTCCAATCCCCTGGAACAGCAGTTACATTTGGTTATGAGCTGCCATGTGGGTGCCGGGAACCACATCCGGGTCTTCTGCAAGATCAGTGAGTGCTCCCCATGACGGAGTTATTTCTCCAGCCCATCTGATCTAGCCTTTGTGTGTAGTCTTAAAAAATCAAATATGCAGAGAACAAAAATAGAAAACTAGGCATGGGTGGCGCATACCTTTTAATCCCAGCACACCTGAGTCAGAAGTAGGCAAATCTGAGTTCAAAGCCAACCTGGTCTATAGAGCAAGTGGCCAGCCAGGGAGAGAACCATGTCAATAAATACATTAATTTAAAGCACCGCACACAACTGGGTGGAGGAGCAAACAACCCCGTAACCACCCCTAGAACTTCAGGAGCAGCAGGACGGAGTTCAAAGCTATCAGTGACTACATAGTGAACAGGTAGGCAGCCAGAAAACCAGGAGACCCTGTCTAAAACCACACACACACAAACACACACACCAGAAAACCAGGAGACCCTGTCTAAAACCACACCCACACACACACACACCAGAAAACCAGGAGACCCTGTCTAAAACCACACCCACACACACCAGAAAACCAGGAGACCCTGTCTAAAACCACACACACACACACACACACACACACACACACACACACACCAGAAAACCAGGAGACCCTAAAACCACACACACACACACACAACAACAACAAACAAAAAAACAACAACCAAACAAATCCCCCCACAGGTTTTCTTATTTTAATATCTATAGACTTTTTATATGAGTATTCTCAATTACTGTGACTGGGAGCTCACTAGACGATACCCCACCTGACCCCCCTCCCCCGAGAAACTCCACCCACTCCTGCTTTTTTTTTTTTTGTTTTGTTTTTTTGTTTTTTTCGAGACAGAGTTTCTCTGTGGCTTCGGAGCCTGTCCTGGAACTAGCTCTGTAGACCAGGCTGGTCTCAAACTCAGAGATCCTCCTGCTTCTGCCTCCCGAGTGCTGGGACCCCTCCTGCTTTCTAATTACCTCCCAACAACTATACTCCTGGTCCAAGTGGCTTTATTTATTCATTTATTTTAGCTGCTTCTTTTTAGCCTGTTTTTTTAGCAGAATGATACAAAAGGAAAAGTGCCAATGTCACTTCCTTGAGGTGAACTGTTGACCTCTGAGAGTAAGAGTGCCTATCAGCTTGAGGCTGGCAGACCCTTCACCAGCAACACACAGCACTAGAAGGCCCTCCCCAACCTGCTTTAGGTTAGCCCTAACACCTTCCCTTCCTCTTGTGACCACCCAAGTGAAGCATTTTCCTTGTGGCTGACGGGCTAGCCCCCTTTAGTTCACATGTGCTCCAGGGCTTTACTTCAGGGGAGAAAATGAAGCAGGACCCTCCATTCATGTTCCTGGCAGTACCTTTAGGAGAACTCGAAGACACTTCATTCCCATTGGGTGGTCTGCAGCACTTAATCAACTGATCTCAATCTTCTTAAATTCTCTCTCCTGACTTCTGGACGCTGCCTTCTCCTGTGTACCTGTCTGTCCTGGATGTCCGGCTGCCACAAACTGACTATCAAATAGGGTAGACACTACAAGACAGCCCCAGGTCTTCCTATGGGAATGCCCTGTCTCTAGGACAGTGGGGTGCCTTGGACCCGTTAGAGAGCAGGGACAAATACAGTTACAGCCTTTACCTTACTGTGGGTGTCTAGGGGCAATTTTTCCTAAAACTTCAGTCACAGAGAGTCAAGAATGGATTCTTGAATGATCCTCCGACTTGTTCACCCAAAGGAGGCTCGGAGAAAGGCAAGAGGATCGTGCTTCCCTTTGTCCTTTGGCCAAATGTCCATCTTCAGGTGACACCTTCAATCTCTTTCCCTCGACAGTGACCATATTTGACAGGTAATCACTAATTAGCTTGGGTGTTTTCCATTTTACACTGTTTCCATCTGTGCATATTTCATCTCTTGATTCTTCATATGTATTGCTGGGTTTCCAGACATAATGAAGACGGGGTCTCACGTAGATCATGATAGCTTCAAACTTGCTATGTAGTTGAAGACGGCCCTGAACACCTGATCCTCCTGCTTCTGTTGCAGGGCTGGTGCTGATGTGTGCCGTCATGCCCAGCCCTCCAGACATGTTTAATGTAACCACAGTCCTGTGTGAAATGGCTGTCGGTCCAAGGTTCACGGAAAATTCCTCAATAAGCCCGGGGTATCCACAGTAACTCTACTATCATTAGACAACTTCAATCCGTGTCATTCAAGATCTGATCAAGAGTGCTCAAGAGAGTACAGCATTTTCACCTTTCTGGGAAGTTCAATGACTAGATCAGGCCACCTGTGAGTTATCCCTGACACCAGCACCTGGCCTGGCTGAACCCCAAATATATGATATGTCAAGAATACTTCCACACATTTAGGACTCGGAATTAGCAATATTCTGGACATTTGTGTCACCTCTTCCTCCACTCTGGAAAGTGTTACACAGGAAGAGGCCAAGGAGGGCCGCTGCTAAGAGCGGCTAGTAAAACAGAAGCTGCCGGCTACAGTTCTGAGTGGCTGATGTCAATCTCTGCAGCTGCCTATCTCTCTCCCTGCCCTGAGGAGGAACGGGAATAAGATAAATGCGGGAGGTAAACTTACACTGAATGGGCCATATCTGCAGGGCTGGCAGAATGTAAAATCTCTCCCTGGTGTGGGCAGACAAGAAACAGTATGGTCTAATCAGCTTTCTAGATTCTCCTAGGGTGTCCCGAAGGCCTGACAGCCTGTCTGAAGCACATCACACAGATTTACTTCTTGTCTGTCCTTTTGAGACACACACAGAGTCAGATTCTATGATGTTCTGAGCCCAACCTCTGAATGAAACATGGGAAGGGATTTTTAATTTGGCAACTCTATGCATGTGAGTATGTGTTTGTTTTTGAGACAGGTTTTGTGTAGCTCATGCTGGCCTCAAATTCCTGTAGCCAAGGATGACCCTGAACTCCTGATTCTCCTGGCTCCGCCTCTCAAGATCTGGTAATACAGGTATGGATCACCATACGTGGCTCTGGTCAGACAAATCATAACACCCGTTTCTGATTTTCCGTCCTATGTGCCCTAATGAGCAGATGGGGCCTTTTTAAAAAATCATTTCCCCATTTCTACTTGAGCTACCAATAAAATGGTGCGCGCGCGTGCACACACACACAGCCAGGCTTAAACAGAACAGTTTCTATTTAAGGACAGAGTTAACATAAATGTGATGATTGTGGGGATGTGGCCCTGCCTTTATCGTCTTTGAGGGGCCAGTGATGAAAACAGGTCTTGTTCTAGCTAATAATCCTGCTGTCAATCCCGCTCACACAGGGATGAGTACAAAGATACAGTGAAATTAGTGCTTTTCCTTTTTAAAAAGACCTTTTAAATGATTTATTTTTATTTCATGTATTGGTTTGCCTGCATGTATATCTGTGTGAGGGTGTTAGATCCCTTGGAGCTGGAGTTACAGACAACTGACAGCTATTATATAGGCACTGGGAACTGAACTCAAGTCCTCTGGAAGAGCAGCCAGTGTAGAGTCATCTCTACAGTCCATGTGAACTTTCCTTAATAGCAGATGAAATAGCAGTAACAACAAAAATTCAGAGGTCTTGTCCTAAGAAAACTCCAAGTCTACTGCTAAGAAAGTGGAAGGTGTTTAAGAGTTAGGGACTGCCTCACACCAGGGGCACAAACAGTTTAACTAATGGTTTATCTTTGACCTATTAGTTTACAATTTCTAAATGAACTTTGGGAGGAGGAGGTTGGACACTGAAGAGACAGCTAGCTGAAACGTAGTTCTCAAGCGAGGCCAGAGAAAGGGCTGGACAGAAAAGACCCGTCCTTTCCTCAGGACTGAGTCCTGCTCACGCAAAGATGGTTTCATTCACATCTGCACCAGGGGACACACAGGTCATGTTAAATGCAGACCATTTTCCAAGGACTCTCGGATTCCCAACAGTTGATGCACAGCAAGGCCACGGCACTGCATGCCGAGGAATTACTTATGTACCGATAGAGACATCCGTAGGCTCAGGGCTTGACCTAAGAACGTGCAGCTAACACAGACAGGTCAGGTTAGCGCTGGTCCTGGAATTTCTGCCTGGACTGGGTAACCCAAGGACATTTTACACACCTTGCTTTTCCAACTTTTCAACATCCTGGCCCAATCCCCTTCACTGAAGCTGCGCGCGCGCGCGCACACACACACACACACACACACACACACACACACACGGGCAGTCAAGACAACCACGGATCTGAGCTGCTGTTGTCTGCTCCAAGTGTGGCTGCATACCTGGAATGCTTTCTAACTTCCTTCTGAGCTCTTCGTTTTCTTGCTGCAATGAGATAACCTCCTGCTCCAGCTCCTGGCATCGAGGACAGTAGCCTTCCTCTTCCTCCTCTTCTTCCTCCTCCGGCAGCGTTGAGGAGGATGGGTGACCGTGGGACTCAGACGTTGCCGGGGAGGTCCAGCCACCTAATGTATGCACCGGGGAGGTTGAGAGAGGGTCCACATCAGCCAGGTGGCCATACTCACTGACTGCTGAGGTGTTCGGAGTTGGGAAGCTCCCCGAGAGCAGGTAATTTTGGAGCGAGTCAGTGAACACTCTCAAAAAGGCAGAAGTTTGTTGTTTTCTTTGCATATATTGCATTTCTATGTCTATGTTGTCAGGGGTCTGGCTCTGGACCCCCTTTGCAATGTGACACTGGTCCTGTCTTTCGTTATAACTAGAGCCTTCCTGCTTGACGCAAGAAATCATGGACTGAGAATGGCTGGAGTCCAGAAGTTTTCCTCCACAATTTAAGAGACTAAGAACACGACTGCACTGCTGGGCAAAGGCATCCAAGATCATCCGGCTCTCTGGAATGAAACGAGAAAGAGACATCAGTGACCCACAGCCAGGCATGGAAGAAGCAAGGCCCTCCATTTCCGGCTTAACCTTCCCACACAAAAGGCCCAGTAAACCCACCACAGAAAGGACACACAGCTCCCTATTGTTCTGTGACCAGTAGGTCCCCAGGCCACTCCAACCCCTAACTCTGAGAAAAGGCCGGGAACCCATGGAGATGTCCCTCTCTGGCCTGCACAGGGCTGAGCTCACACCTTTGGCTTCATTAATATCCTCACTCTAATGAATTGAGCCAGCCACTGCAGACTCGGTTCCTCATTGATACGAGGCCTTCCTGCAATCATTACTGCTATTTCTGGAGTGCCCTCCTGCCCTTGCTATTCATCAGCTGATACAATCCCTTCTACAACCACACAGCTCACGGATGCAAGCTGGAGAGGAGAGATTAGTCCCTGTGAAGAGCTCCCTAGAAACCTAAGGTAACGCAGAGGGCTGTACAGCAGAGGATGAGAGTGACACACACTGTCACCCGACACCAGCACTCCCGTCTTCCTAATCCAGAGTTCTGGTCAAGGCCAGGGTTTAGAGTGATGGGGGCAGCACCATCTGAAAAGGGACTCCCTCTTCTCAGAGCCATTTACACTGGACCGCCATGTCCCCTACAGGGACAGAAAGTGTGGGTGCCATGAAGCCCCATACCTGATCTAGGCACACTGTCAAGCAGCGGAAAGTAAAAAGTGAAGAGAAACCAACCACTTTGCTAGAGACAAAGGAAAAATCTCTCCCAAATCTTGAAGACATTATAATGTTGTCCAATGCATAGTCACATGGGGAAACAGGTGGCTCCCTCCTGCTTGTCACCACAGAGACAGATCTCACTAGTACGGAGTGACACTGGTCAGGCCTTATTCAGCAGGAAGAGGATCCTTCAGATTTCTTCTTCCCCTTACCCAGATGAATGGTCACAAAACACTGACTGGAGAATTATTCAGGGGCTAGAAATTCTTATAAAAATGTAGCTTGTTACTGACTTTCTCTGAAGACACTGTCTACATATTTTTGTTTAATTTGGTCAGGGAAAGAAAAATAAGGTTTTTTTAAGTGAAAAATAGTGAGATGCTTGAGGTCTTCTTTGGGGTAGAGACAACGGGTGTAGTTGAAAGCCTCAAGAAACTCACCATGTATGGTGAATGAAAACACAATTCTGTGTTGTCCATGAGCTGTGACACAGATGCTGCCCCAACTACTTGGGAGGCCGGACAGGAGGATCATTTAATCCCAGGAGTGGGAGATCAGCCTTGGTTGCACAGTGAGGTCTCTCCTCAGGAAAAATAGGGCAGTGGAAGGGAGGGGAGACAACATGAGACATGGACGACAGACAGACTTCTGTCCAATAGCCAATGTTCTACCATGTTCTTTTCTTCTTAGCACATTTTTATGAAGTAAGTAGGTACTGGGAAAGGGTGGTCCACATGTCCTGTGTCACTTAATTGGAAGACACATGAAGTATCCCATCCCCCAAGTCTGAACAATGCTACCATTCTGGGGGAATTCTGGGCTAAAACTTTTCTGTCCAGGAGAGGATTACAGACTACACTGGACTGGAGAGTCAGGCTCTTAGTGCTTCAAATATATCCACTGAAGAATGGCTCGATATCTACCCACCCATCACACAGAGCAGTAGGTGAAGGGGTTGTCGTGCAAACACAAGGACCCAGGCTCCATCTCCAGCACCCATATAAAAAGATGGATGTTGGGGGTATATGCTTGTAATCCCAGCACTGGGAGACTGAGACACAGGGTTGCCCCGGGGCTCCCTGGCCTGCCAGCCAGCCTCGCCTAAGGTCTAATCAGTGAGACCGTGCGCCAGCTCATGACTGAGGGCTTGCTGCACAAGCACGAGGAGCTGGGTTCCACTTCGAGCACTTACGTAAAAAGCCAGTGGGACAGCACACGCCTACAACCCCAGCCCCAGGGGCACACAGACAGAAGATATCTGGAACTTAATGACCAACCAGTATTAACCAAACAGTCAGTGCCAGGTGAGGGGCCCTGACTCTAGAAAATGGGGTGGCTGTCTTATAAGGAACTGCCTGACTCAAAAGCCCCATCCTTAACTGAGGAGCTGTCGGCAGTTGATAGCCGACAGAGGATAGTTTTGGGGGGTGGACACTAGTACACTGCCCATTCTCCAGTGAGCTACCGTACCGCCATGCACATATGGACTGTGATACTGGACTTAGTGGGTTATTAGAAAAGAGAAGACATTTAGTGGGGAGATACACATGGGATCAGGATATAGGCAGGAGCTGGGAGGAGGTAATGGGGGTAGATGTGATCATATTTGTACACACCCGTGAGTTCTCAAAACATAAAAACAGGAGGGGACAACTGGAGACACCCAACATTGACCTCTGCCCCCCCAAAGGTCAGAGGCTATCTCAGGTGCCAGCACTTTTAACCTGTTTGAACACATCACTGCTGCATATCCCAGCCTCACCCAACACCACCTGGAACTTCTCCTGTTGCTGTTTATCTTGTTATAGAGGGGTGCTGGGATTACAGGTGTGTTACAGCACTTGCCTTTCCCTGGGTTCTACAGATCTGAACTGAGGTCCTCCCACTTGCCACCCAATGAACCATCTCTCCAGTCTACTTCCTGTTACAGAGGGTAGCACTACCCTCCCCTTCCTTAGATTCTCCTGTGACAAGGTCAAGACCCAGAAATCCTTCCACAAACCTCTCCGGAAGGTTCCCTCTCACACCTGAGTTACACACCGTGGTGACAGAGCTCAGAAGTGTGGACCGTCTCAGCGAAGATACAAGAGAGTTGACGGAACACCACGGGTCAGTTTAAAACCCTGAACACAAACCTGGTCACTGATGAGGGTGCGGAGTCGTGATCTGTACCTAGGTCCTACAGATCCCCGGGTGCCATTTCTTTACTGACCTACACCACACTAGGAGGTGAACGGCTGAACCACACAAGTAGAGAGGTGTTCCACTCTTGTTATTTTACTTCATTATTTTGTTCTTTCATTAGTAAAATCAAAGGATGGTATTGACAGGGAATGCTCCATTCTAGCACAGGAGCAGCTGCCATCAATTTAATCCTATAATCCACACAAGACCTTAAGTTGTATTTACTGTGCGCATTTTAATCATGTAGGCCCACCGACTTACAGCCCACGCACCCCTAACATAACCTTGACAAAAGGGATGTCCGCAGAAGGAAAGGCTTTTTAAATGGAACAGTGCAGAAAGAGCTGCTCAAAGACATTTATTCAGTGTGCTACCAAACACCAAGCAGCTTTAATCATATTGATGAATCACATTACAGCATGGATTTCAAGAGGAAAAAAATCTGACTTAGGGACAAGCGTGATTTGTTTTCTTAATTGAAGGATAAACTTATAACATGCTGAGAAAAAAATCATTATGTAATATACTACATTATAAAGATAATCTATTAAAGTGCACTCAGAACATCAGAGAATTGCAATGATCACCGAACAGTTCTTGCCTGACTTGAAAAGGCATATCTCTGAATTTGCTCTCAGAGCTGATCTATAGAAGAACGGCAACTGTAAATGTGTAAGGTTGAATTTTCCCTCTTTTCAAAAACCTTGAAATATCTGGGCAGTATATTTAACACCAAAATACAAAAGAGTGTGATAAAAATATCCCCACTGCACTGGGGGGGGGTGCAACTCTTCCATTTTATATGCGCCACAATCAGCAATACTTTAGCTTTCTGGACAGACTACAGTCAGAAATGCAGGAACTGTGCAAGCCCCTTTCTGCTAAGAAATGTTCTGTTTCCTATGAATACGACTGTCTTAACTAAGCAAAACATAAACATGGATTTTTCTTAACTTTTTTTTTAAGCCTCTTGTCATAGAGTGCCCCCCACACAGGGGATAGCAGAGAAATACAGAACTCTGCAGTCTACAAAGGGACTTCCCCACAAGTTAATAAATCACAGTTTCAAAGCCCTCTGAATGACCACTAACTTAGCATGCTTTATTGTGCGCTGCCGAGAGATGAAACCGTGCTCTATATTGTGCCCACCCTGCTTCTCAAATCTAAACTCAGGGCTATTACTATTTTTTTTTAATTAAGATTTTCATTTCCTGAAATTCTTCTGCACCTATGTGGTTTTAACCCATCCTCAATTTGATAGGTGACTGAGACAGGATGGGAAGCAGGCACTCAAACGTTGCCTCTTCTCTACTCTGATGGCCTTCTGTATAGGGCAAGATGTGTTCAGCATGTGCCCATCCCAGCCCACCCCTCAAGAGAATTCCGTCTCTGGGAGGGAGATCACAGCACTGAAAATTAGTGGCAACCTTTTGATTTTAGCTCAGTCAAGGGTAAAATATGTTAATATTAAAGATGTAGCAGGAAATTTTTAGTGACCTATTATGTTACCCACCCATTACATCTACCAAAGGACTTCCAACGAGCTCAAAATAGAGGCTCCCCTTAAAAGATTAACTTCTTTTTTAAGAGGCCTACATGGTATGGTACAGGAGACAGAAGTTAGAAAATTAAAGCGTCTTGGAAAACAGCACCCTCGTCTTAAATCAATGAAGGATGCCTTAAAAAAAAAATGCCTGCCAATTTTTTTTTCCATAATGGCAAACGTCAACACAGCAAAACAGGATGCAATTTTTCTAAATAAATAAATCAATGATGTGTCAAAAATTAACAGATGAGTTAATATACTCGGTGCTATCAAAAGCAGGTGGCGCTTCCTAATATTCATCCTGCTCAGTCAATCCCTGAATATTTTCTGGACCATCGGTATATAAAATAGGATGCTGCTATTTGTGATGGCAAACAAAAGCAATCATGCCTGCCAAGCACATACTATAACAGGCGGCATTTCAGCTCTGCTAGACAGAAAGTAATTAGAATGCTTTTAATGTCCAAAAGAATGATGCTGATAGGCTGCCACAGATGTGTAGATTTATGAATATTTATATGGTGGTTTATGGCTGACACTTTTATCAGTTGAAGAAGATAAAATATCTGCCTGACTCAAAAGCTTGACAGTCAGGTTAATAAAATCTCATTAAAGAGAATGACCTATGCAATTATATAGGATTTATTGTAATTCATTTTTGATTGTACTCTGCTTAAAGATGCAATTTCCCATTTCCTGATGCCAAATTTAGGCTGCATATCAAGATCTACGTGGGTTTTTAACTCTAAGCCTCCCACAGAGGAAAAATATGCTTTTAAAACCATGGTGTATTACCCCTTTTAAGGAAAATTATACTCTTCACGAGATTTTATAAGAATTTCGAGAAATCTATTTTTAATCACGTATTTCTTTTCTCAATGGCTTGTAGCATCTAATGGCAAATAAGATTCACTTCAATCTTCCATCTTTTCACCGCCTTTACCTCTTCCACCCTGAGCTCACTCAGCAACACCGTGGTTTGACATTTTTCAGCTGAAAAGGTGGCCCTGAACACTCACCACAGCCACAAAGCTGTGAGAGCAACAGGCAAAGCCCCACCCGCCCCGCCCCATGTGTTTAGAAGGCCCTGGTGAGCACACGCGCTCATTGGCTCCAAGTGGCACCATTAGCCCCTCAAAGAACCAATCGGCTCTCCATGTGGCTGTCCCTCTGATGGCCACACACGTCACTGTGCCCGTTGAGAGATGGTCTGTCCACTTGTGATGACTATTACCTTAATTCTATGGCTCCCCCTCTGCATCCAGAACGTTCTCTGGGACACCGAAGAAACCTACCATCCAGTTCTCAGCTTTCCCATACCTCTAGGTAGGCACCCAGTGACTTACCATCCTAGTGACCTTACCCTGGAGTCCGCACTAACAAACAAACAAACAAAAAAAAACAACCCCCCCCCTCAAAACCCTGACCAGAACAGCCTTGAGAAAACTGGTAATATGGGAAAGTTTGAAAGAAGAAAAAAAAGCCCCTTCCTATCTTTAGATTCAGTGACAATGGCCTCTAACTTGTGATAGAGACAAACTTAAAATAGGATACTAGAAAAAAAAATACTGAGGGGAGGAAAAAAAACTAAAACCAAAAAACTCCAAATGAAGATGACAGAGAAACTTCCAGAACAAAAGCGGCCATGGAAAGGAGGATAAGAGACGGAGGCTGAAAGAGAGCATACAGAGATCATGGCGGGGAAGAGCAATAAGTGGATGAAAATGGTAAGGAAGGAGCAGATGGATGAGGTTCTAGAGGAAGCAGAGACTGGAGCACAGATGTCTGAAGAAAGTGCTCCTCCAAGGGCTGGACCAGGCAGATAAAGGCTTCAACCCCGAAGATGAGGTTGGAACCAACATTATACAAGAGGTCAACTGTGGGCAGTGGGGAAAGGACCCAAACTGCCGAAAAACAACATAGAGGAAACGATGAGCTGGGGTAACGGGCACACTCAGGCAGTATAGAGAAGACAGGCATGAGAGAGAGCCGTCTGAGGTAAGGCAAGCCGCTGATTCGAAAACGAAAACCAAACAGGACACGAAAGCTGGGGAGGGCCTAACAATGAATATAAAAACAGTGAGATATAAGGGTAAGGGCAGTGGGGTAAAAAAATCACCTCACAAACAGTAAGGAAGGCATGTAAGAACCCCAACACAGAATCTCTAACATCTCCAAGGCATTGGAGGACATGGCAGGTACAAGTCTTCACTATAACCTGTAATTAGATTTTCTTTCTCCAAACCAATCCTTCACATGTCAAAATATTGACAAATGGCAGGGCTCTTAGCATGAGCATCTATAACTCCTTCAGAGACAATGCCCGTCTACTGTCACTAGGAAAACACACACACACACACACACACACACACACACACACGAGTCTTAGATTCGCTGACATTAGGAAGCTGGGAGGCTCTTAAGTGCCCTGAGAGGCCTGAGCAGGGACTTTATCTCTGATGAACCATAAACGTGGCTGCGTGTCCTTCCTCTGGGGGCAGAGGGTGCAGGCCTTGCTCAGAGCTCTCCCGCTCCCCGGTGAGATAGCAATCTCGATCTTTGCGGTGGGCGATCCCCACGCGACAAACCACGGACCAGGTGGGTGGGGATTGTAACTCTGCGCCGAGGATGCCCTCGAACCCACGTCCGGAGGAGTGATTCCTCCGCCCCTCCAAAAAAAAAAAACTTCACCCCCTCCCAACCCAGTTCAGCACCAGGTCCACGGTTGACTCGGGTTGGAAGACCTACGTGTCTGCGCCAGGGATAAAGTGAGGGGTGCGCGCCATCAAAACTGGAGCGCACTGAGAAAAAGAAACGCAGAGACCCCCGGAGGAGCCCAAGTGGCCCCGGACCGCCGGAGGTGGGGGGGCCTTCAAGGGGTGAAGGACCGGCCCTCCCGAGGCACAGAAGCTCCTAGAAGGGCGAGCTGGCGGCGGGCGGGAAAGGGAAGTGTGGCGTGAGGAAAAAGTGAAGTGGCGGGGAATAAAATGGGCGTCTCCTGGAGTGACCTTAGGCCGCTGTCCCGGGGACTGTCCCCTCCTCGGTACCCCGCCCAGGGCCTGCAATCCCTGCACTCCCTCCCCCCACTCCGTCCTCCCGTAGCCGGCCCAGCTTCTAGCCCGCCGGGAGCCCGCGCCCCGGAGCCACCTGTTAGGCGCGCGCGCCGTCGGAAGCCCGGGCCGCGGCGGCGCCGGGAATCTTCCAGAAGTTACTACTGCCCGAGCGCAGCACGCTCCCGAGGCCCACCGGGCCCCGCGTGCACGGCCTCCCGGGATGCCCCCACCCTCCGCCCCGCTCCGATCCCCCCAGTCCCCAGGCCACCGCAAAGTTGCAGCCGGGGAGTCGGTACCTGCACTGAGCTCCAAGCTGACGCCGTCGCTACCCGCGCTGCCGCTGCCCGCGCCGCTGGCCGGGCCCGGGCCGTACCTGACGACGGCGGCGAAGGACGACGACGACGAGGCGGCGGGGGCCGTGGGCGGCGGCGGCGCCGGAGTCCTCGGGTGACTGGGGGGCGCGGCGGGCGTGCAGGACGGCGACGACGACGAGGCGGCGGCGGCGGCGGGGGCCCGGCCTGCCCCGGCCGGGTAGGACGGCTGCGTCGGGAACGGCGGCGGCGGCGGCTCGCTGCTGCTGATGGGCACGGCGGCGAGCGGCGCGAAGGGCGGCGGCGGCGGCGGCGGCGGCAGCGGGGACGGCCGCGCGGGCGGCAGCTCCAGCAGTGTGGGTCTGTCGTAGCGCTTGGCCAGCGCCGGCCGCCGGCTGGGGAACGTCTTGAGGACGCTGTAGGGGCCGCGCTGCTTGTAGATGCGGGGCGCGCTGGGCCCCTCCTCCGCCGCCTGCATCTCGGGCTCCATGCCGAGCCGGAGGCCCTGCCCGCCCCGCGCGCGGATCCAGGGGTGGCTCGGCCGCCCGGCCGCCCGCTCTACCCCGGCGCGCGCCGGCGGGAAGGCGTGTGTCTGCGCCGTGGTGGCCGCCGCCGCTGCCGCCGCCTGTCGCCGAGCCTGGCATCTCCGAGCCCCCGCGCGGGGGGCTGCCGCCCAGCGCTGATTGACAGCCCGCCTCGCCAATGCCTGGAGGGAGAAAGGAGGCAAGGAGCAAGTGTTTAGGGTAATATCTGCTAATGATGATGGGGGCGGGGCGGGGCCTGGCGCCGGGGCGGCCCGCGCGAGCGGCGCCTCGGACAGGGTCGTGGGGGGAGGGGAGGGAGGGGAGGCCGCGGCCCTTGGGGACCCGGTGGCGGGACGGGGAGTGGAGTGTGGACGGGGATGGGGTGGGGGACAGAACCTGGAGGGCGTCCTGCTGGGGACAGGTGGAAAAGGTGGGCTCCCGGGTCTCTCTGCTGTGGACGAGAGGCGGCCGTGCTTGCCGGCCGGGTCCGAGCTTTGCAAATGAGTTCCCGGCGCCCTCCTGCGTGACCTCCCAACTCTCCAAGTGCACGAAGGGGGTGGTACCTAGAAGTTAGGGCGGGGTCGCCGGAGTGCAAGGGTGGACGGTAAGTTCTTCTAGAAGGATACTACACCCCCCCCCCCACCTTCGGAAAAGAACGTCTTGCAGGACTTGACACGGGCTGCTGGGAGGCTTGTCCTGCCTTAGGGTCTTGCTGTCCCAGGTTTGGCGGCTGAACCTGAAAGCGCTCAGGGCCCTGGGCTTGCACACCCTTTCACTTGTTCTCCATAGGGGGCTGGAAGAGAGCCGAGGGACGCCATTACTTCTCTCCATTCTACAGATTTGAAAACTGAGGCTCCGCAAGATTAAAGGGCATTATCCAAATTCACGCAGAGGAGCTTGTGAGTGAGTTGCACGGATGCAGGCAAGTCTTCAGAATTTAAAATAGCTGGTAGACGGTGCAATTAAAGGGAACAAAATGACCTCACGCTTCCCTCGGGGCTGATGATTGCTTTGAACATTATTATTATTTATGCATATACTTTGCAAGACCAAGGTGGCCTGGGATCTCACTTTCTACATTGTTCATTCCAGCTGGCGCAACCAAGCTAGGGGTTCTGGGGAGCACGGGTCTCAATACTTGTTTGAATGAAGGAAGACCCTCCAGTAGTTTGCAGGGGGACCCCCATAAGGTCCTTGAAACACAAGGAAGGGTTCTGGCGTCTGCCAGTCATTCCTTACTATCTCAAAGGAAGCATCCTTCAATAGGCCTACTCCAGCCCCAGCATCCCCTCCTCCCAAGCTTGGGTTCCAGCCTTATTCATCACTATCCAGGTCCTTGATGGATGACCCTCATCTCTGCAATCCGGAGTGACTTTCTTATTCAGAGCTATCGTTTTAGTCTTGGCAAAGTGACCCATTTTCTTCTGGGGTCCAAGTCTTTGACCTCCCATTTCCCAGGTCTCCCTTCCTTCTGAAGAGTTCTTCCTTACTGTTTCAGAGCCTGTGTCGCCCCCCACCCGACTGTCCTCTCCTCTGTAAGCTCCTCAGATAGTGCTGTGCCCCTCCTCCATTTATTAGAGATGAAATAAATAATGCCATAAATAAAAGTATTTGGGAGTCCAGGAACTGTCAGGGCTGATTAGGGCATAGAGGACATTTTCTTTCTCATTATGCAAAAGCATTTCATGGGGAAATAAAAGAGGTTTCATTGTAACTCATGCATGTCATATTTCAAGGAATTCAAGATATTAATCATATTTAACATTATTTGCAACGTTTTCTTCTCCCTGGCTTCTGAAAACTGCTAAATGAGGACACGTGGATCACCGGGAAGAAAGGGAGAGGAGCGTGAGAGGGACAGTTGAGAAATAATGAAAGGCTGGTGAAGGAGACCGAGTGAGATGCCAGGGAGACGTCTCTTAGGCGCAGAAGTGAGGAATGGGGGAGTGACTTCTGGGATGGGAGACAGATGAAACTGAACGATACACGAGGAAATAAATGATAGCAAGCCTCCCCGCACGTTCCCGGCTAGAGAGCGGTTCTGAATTTTGCATCGAAACCTTTCCCTCCCACTTTACTCCCCGATAATTTGCCAGGAACTCCTAACTTTTGGAAAGAAATTAGGGTGAGGCTTGGTGGGGAGAAGACCTTCAGCCCTCTGGTAAAGAAATGACTTCTTGTACCTGGGGATGGTGAAGCTATCTCTTCTACGCAGATTTATTTATTTACTTTAGAGTTATTAATCTTACTTGTATGAGTGTGTTGCCTGCATGTGTGCGTGTGCACCACATGGGTGCCTGTGGCCCGAGGACCTGGAACTGGTCTCATCGATGGTTGTGACTCATCACGTGGGTGCTGGGACTCGAACCTGAGTCCTCTGCAAGAACAGCAAGCGCTCTTCACCACTCAGCCATCTCTCCAGCCCCTAAGTATGTGTTTTAGATTTATGTCATTCTTTCCGCTCAAACACCTTGAGAGACGGCAGCCATACTCCCTGCTTTCCTGACTGAAGGGACCGTCTATCATTTTTCTGCAAAGTGGCCATTTTTACAAATGCAAACCCTCAAATGAGAGGTTGCCTTGGTTGGGATCATCTCTAAACATCCACATTGGAAACTTAGGCCCCACTGTAGAAGTGTGGGGGGTGGGGCCTACAGTCAGGCATTTGCCACAGGAGGGCTGTGTCCTCAAGCTTGGGTTGATGCCTGTTTACAAGAGCATGGGAATGTGAGTTTGGATTCTTGGGTGCTCCTGTGGGTGATGCCTCTGCCTCACTGTGTTGCATGTTACAGCAAAAAGGCTCTAAGCAGTTGATGCCCATCAACCCTGGACGTCTTGGCCTCTGGAATGGCAAAAGCAAAACAAAACAGGAACAAAAAAAACCTCTCAATTTCCATTCTTTACAAATTGCTTAGTGCATGGTATTCTGTCATACCTTGTATGGGTAAACAGAAGACGGTCATTGCAACAGCAATTCCATTACAAAGTACTCAAGAATTTGGGAGAATGAACGTGAAAGGCCTAGGTTGCTATGAATGATATTAATGGTGAGTCTGGTGAGAACTCGGAACTGTAGAGAAAGAAGAGTGGTTAAGCGGTTTTGATCTATGCTAGAAAAATGGGGTTTGGTGGCTCACACCTGTAATCCCAGAGCTATCCCCCTAATCTGGCATTCATTTGGGAGGGACAATCAAGAGGCCTGACCTGTAATACATATCCATACACCCTATTTAAAAAAGAAAAGAGGTAGGAGAGAAGGAAGGAGGGGCAGGCTGATAGTTAAGGGCATTCTAATGAGTCTCCGGTTGGAATGAGGATCAGAGCTTTAGAAGCTGGAGGAAAGGCCGTCTAGGCTCTCCAGAACTCTGCCTTAGGAGTGCGTGGAAGGCAAAACTTCTCCATAAAGAACAATGAAGTACGATGTCTGGCAGGATAAATAGCTACGCCGTCGCAAAGCCTTCAGAGGGCTGCAGAGCTTCTTTTGGCCGAGAGACTAGAGAAATGATTTAAAGATAGAATTTATAATTAAAGGGGATGCAGAGCGGAAAGATGGGGAGATTTGCAGCCTGGCATGGTAAGAGTGAAAAAGCATGCCCAGGAGAGAGTACTGTGGGGATAGCCAGTGGCCCTTTGCTTAGGAGATTATTCAGGTTCCGGTGCTCGGGATCTATTCATCAGGATAATGAGACAGTGGCCTTAACTGTCTGGGATCTTTGAGACAAGCCAGGACTTTGAAGGCAAGGTTTAAAGAAAGGCACGTGCTGCCCAGAGCCACCTTGGAAGGCTTCTGCAGTCTGGCGCAGCATTCCTGGGCTACTCCGGGTGTGTCTCTAGCTGGACTAGGTTAGCTCAGAAGGGCAGAAGCGGTAAGTTTTGCAAGTAGCTGTGTGTGCTGACTCAGCGTGCAAGCTATGGGACCAACTGTCAAAGGTATGTTGGACAGTTTGGGACTTCAGTCAGAGACTGGTCAGAGGGGCAGGGTTACCACAGAGAGCCCTAACTAGGGAGTGCCTACTGTAGGTCTGGAAATAAGGTGCTTTTAAAGTCCCCCCAAACTGTAGAGTTGGTGTCCAGTCTCATCATTGGAAAGCTGAATAAGCAGAGGCTGTGAGTGGGCACCTGATACTTTGGGGGCTCAGACCCTGAAAGGCATCTAGGAGGTGGTAGGTGGCTATTCTGGAGCCTTCAGATTTAAATGTTCACCCCTTTGGGTTTGTATTTACCGAGCCCCATCCCATCATATTTGTGATTTTGAGATAGGGTCTCACTGTAGCCTAGAGTGGCTCTGAAGTCACTGTGTAGCAGGGTCTTAGCTAAACTTTGAAGTGATTCCCCTGCCTCAGACTCCCAAGTACTAGGATTACTGAGGGCTGGGTTTACAGATATTGGCCACTATTCTTGGCCCATAATTGCATTTTGGAAGTTGATAACATGTTTGAGTTCACTGATTCCAAGCTGGAGAAGTAGCCGAGGATGAATTAAACTAGCTGATTTAGATGCCACTCTTGGACTTTGGGCTTGGCACTAGAATGAGTTTAGACTTTGGGGGGCTTTTGAGGTGGACAGTTGTAATTTGTATATGAAGATGACGTGCCTTGTGGAGGACAGAGGCAGAATACAAATGGTGTGAGTGTGTCTCCCAATATCACATCATGGAAACAATCCCCAGTGTGACACTGTTTAGAAGTAGGACATAATGAAAGGTGGCTAGTCCTTAGGGCTGTCCCTCATGGATGGCATAAATGTGGAGGGCTTGAAGCTTCCAGGACATCTCTGGCTCTCCCTTACCCACACCATGCTGTCTGCCGTGTTATAACATAGGAGGGAGGTTCTAACCATTAGACCTGCACCCTTGAGCTCCCCAGTCTCCAGAGCTATAAGCCTAACAAACTTACAGTGTCTATAAACTACCGCATCTTTGGAATCCTAGTGTAGCATCACAGGAATGAATTAAGACAGTGGCTTAGCTTTGCTTTTTATGAAAGGTCTTGAAGAAGAAAAATGCCAGGAATTTGAAGTGGTCACCTTTCCTATCCTCGCACAGGCCGTTCCCTAGCCTGCACCGCGGGAAATGGTGTTCGCAGCGGAGAGAGAGAGCACCTGTAATCCAGATGCTTAGGACACAGAGATGAGAGAGTCATGACAGGCCCTCCCGGGTCCAGTCCTCAGTAATCAGGAGAAAAAGAGGGAAAGAATAAAAATGTAACGTTCTTGTTAATTATCCCTTAGAAAATAGAACAGACACTGACTCCCAAGTGTGGAGCCATTCACTCCTTCAGACTTAGGACCATTTCTCCCGCTGAACTCAGCGCTGTGTGTGCATGCGTGCAGCAGAGGTCCCTGAAGAGGAAGCATCTACTGAGTTAAAGATCCTCAGGCTGCTTGACCTTGGCTGATTAGAACTGTGCTTGTGGACTGATGGGCAGTCAGGGCCGAAAGTACTCTGAGCCTCCTCGGCTCCTTAACAGCCATTTACTTTCAACCTCTGTATCTGGCCTAACATCCCGGTGACCAGGTTAAGCTCTCACAGTACGTCACTGACCTTCATGGACCTTTGGCTCCTGCCCACTCTGAAGAACATTCTAACATCTCAACCTGTAGAAAGCACTTCTGGCCTTGCGGTAGCTTCTCCACAGTTGTCTAGTGCTTTTGAAGATGTAACTGTTTATCACCTTCCTGGTTCTGTGGCTGCGCAGAAGGCCTCGTCTACCGTGGAACATGTTGTTCAGAGAAGCCCGAGTCTATGTCCCGGGCCATGACCACTTGTCTTTGGCTAAGAATGAGCTGCTTCCTTTTTCCCTTGAATGTTGAGCTGCTGCTTTACAACTCTTCGATACAAACATAAAAGAGCCAAGCACTTGCAAAGTCCTTCGTAAGGAGCACTCAGTAAACGTCTTGCTCCTCTCTGTGGTCTAAGTCATCAGACAATGACTTTGCTGCTGTCTGCTCTTGGGGGCTGTACAGAGGCGGATAGGATAACAACTACAGTCACGCTTTAAATCTTTTTAGATGTTTACTCTAAACTCAAAAATAAGAGATGGTGAAAGCCAATGGGTTATCTATGGACAGGGTAAATTTTTGATTGGCAGCATCTCAATTCCTTGAGCCATCCAGAATATAGCTTTTAAATAATAACTCAGCCATGGGAAATGCTTTTTATTGCACCAATTTCAATGATATTTAATGAGCTTCTGATTGACTGTTTGATCTCCCAATGTTTTGTGCTACTTTTAATTCATTTCGTATAATAGAAAAAAAAAGTAATTGGAATAAAATTTTGTGACAAGATAATGACCTTCTACTTTGAAATTAAATGTCTGATTAGCTTCAACATTTTAATGCTGAGATGATGCTGCAGCAGGCACAGGAGTGCGCGTACTGTCATTCCATGGAAAGTGACTGAGGAATATGCCCTCGCTTTGCTGATCGCATAGCCAAAGGGCGTGGTGGCTGTAGAATCAGAGACACACAGGTCTAGAAGGGAATGACGCAGTTGCCTGAACCCGTGTCTGCAGTTTTTAACAACTTGGATACGTGGTTGTATGAACCATGCTTGACTCCCAGTGACAGAGATCTCACTATCTCTGAATGCATCAGCCATTCACCCAAGTATTAGTCCAGAATATTTATTGTGTGTCTACTATGCGATAGATGTCTTTATGGGTTCTGAAGGATATAATAGTGCAACAGATTCCAGGGTATCCTGGGAGAACAAGGAGCAGATGATAAATTAGTCACTGTTGTAGGGAGGCTGCTTGTTTGTTTCCCGGCTGCCCCGACTCCCAAAATAATCACACAGAAACTATATTATTTAAAACACTGCTTGGCCAATGACTCTAGCATATTCCTAGCAAACTATTACGTATTAAATTAACCCATTTCTATTATTTTATATTTTACCTTGAGGCTCGTGGCCTACCAGGAAGGTTCCAGCTGGCGACTTGCGTCTTTCTCCTCTAGTGACTCCATGACTCCTGACTCTGCCTTCTTTCTTCTAGCATTCAGCTTAGTTCCCACCCCCATCCCAGCTCTGCTCAACCCTATCACAGGCCCAAAACAGCTTCTTTATTAGCCAATGGTATTCACAGCTTACAGAGGGAAATCCCACATTACTTCCCCTTTTCTGTCTAAATAAAAAGGAAGGTTTCACTTTAACATAGTAAAATTGCATATAACAAAACAGGTATCGAGTAAAAATTATAGTTACAATATTTATATCTACTTTATCTTTTATCATAAGTGAGGAAAACTGTAATTATAACTATCTATTCTTCAACTCCAACAAAGACTACAGAAGGATATAATATTACCTAAGTAAACAGGAAGTGCATTGTAAGCAATTTCCAAAACTCTAGAATTGACAGAGACATCTCACTGCCTGGACAGTCACCCAGAGTTCTTCTGTAATGTTTGGATATCCATCTTCAGCCTACCAGCCCATAGTATCTGGCAGACTTTTCCATGAAGCAGGAAATTTCAAAGACAGCTCTGCCTATATTGACAGTTTGTCAGTCACTTTTTTCTGTGTCCTGCAGAATGTCTGGCAGTCTCTTTAATGAAACAGGAACCCTGAAGGACTGTCTCACCTTCTTTAGGGAACTTTAGCAGTCATTTCTCAGTGGGTCCTGCATGTCCAGCTCATACAGCAGAACATCAAGCAGTCCAGGAAAGAGCAGTTTCTTGCCCAAATGGCTAACTAACTCTATAAGGAGCCTCTTTGATGCTCATCATCCTCTGGTGCTGCCAAGAGCAGATGTGTTTCATTGTCATGAAAAGTCTTAAGCTCTTAAAACATTTTAAATGCCATATTCTGAAGGTCTCTGAAAGATGTGAAGAATACCCATCTAACTGCCATACCCCTAGGCTTGTGGTTCTGGGTACTGTAAGAAAGCAGGATGAGCAAACCAGTAAGGAGCATCTTTCCATGGCTTTTACATCAGTTCCTGCCTCCAGATTCCTGCCCGAAATTCCTGCTCAACTTCCTCTAATGATGGAATATGATGTAGAAGTATAAGCCAAATAAACCCTTTCCTCTCCAGGTTGTGTTTGGTCATGGTGTGTTATCACAGCAATGGAATCCCTAACGAAGACAATCGATGTTACTTTGATAAAGGCTGATAGCTCACATGGGAGAAAACCAGTTCATACGAACAACCCAGGGCAAAGGACAACAGGTACAACAGCCATTGGGTGGGGTGCTTTGAGGGGCAGAAAGAAGGAGGTCAGGCAAATGCAGGGGGCTTGAGAGCAGAATACAGGGCTCATTCTGACTACAGAGGGACCTTGAGAACTCAGGACAGAGTGACATCACCATCGGGTTTATGTTTTTTTTTTTTTTAATATTTATTTATTTATTATGTATACAATATTCTTTCTGCGTGTATGCCTGAAGGCCAGAAGAGGGCACCAGACCTCATTACAGATGGTTGTGAGCCACCATGTGGTTGCTGGGAATTGAACTCAGGACCTTTGGAAGAGCATGCAATGCTCTTAACCGCTGAGCCATCTCTCCAGCCCCCGGGTTTATGTTTTTAAAAGCTATTTAAAGGAAAGGCACAACTGTAGTTCTTATACAGACACATAAAGGAACATGTTACAGATTTTATCTGGCTTGGACTTGGTAGCATGGACTATGTCAAATTCCACCTCATGATTTCAAAGGAAATTACATACTTGTATAGAATAAAGGAAGATTCACTTTCCAGGGGACGTGGGCAAAGGAGGGAACCTTTTCTGATGTCTAACAGTTATCCAAGCTTGAAAAGTTAAATACAAACCAGTGAAAGACATTGAGAGAGTACCAACAGGTAACTACAAAAATGAGGGTCATTACACACGACAGTGTCCCAATGAAACACAGTATTTTTTTCTGCAATGCTTAAAAAAAAAGCAAAAGAAGTATTTTTAAGATTATTTTAGATTCACAGGAGGTTGAAAAATGGTCTAAAGAAATCCCAGAAAGTGATACCTTTCATCTACTTTTTGCAAGGAGCACACCTTGTGTTCCTCTAGCTATGTACTTTGCATGCTATATATGCCCTTTTGAGGTCTGTCACTTAGTTTAACATCCTGCGACCCACCCGTGTTTTTTGCATGCACCGATAGTTTTTACGGCTGAGTAGTAGGCTGTGGTGTGGATGTAACCCAGGCTTTTAGTCGGTCCTCTTTTGAAGGATGTTATGACGGTTAGCAGTTTGAGGCAATGGCACGTACGGCTGCTCTGAACAGTCATGTGGGACTTTTACATGGAGGTAAATTTTATTCTCTGGGGCCAAGTGGCTAAGAGTGGGTTGTTGGGGGCTTCACTGTGCCTTCTTACTTTTACAGGATCTGATTAGGAGGAGAGACAGTTTGTTTCCAAACCAGAAGCCATGGATTCTTTCATATATAACCGTGCTTCTGCCAGGTGTATTGGTGCACGCCTTTGATCCCAGCACTGGAGAGGAGAGGCAGAGGCAGCCAGATCTCAAGTTCAAGGCCTGCCTGGTCTACAGAGGGAGTTCCAGGACAACCAGGCTGCATAGTAAGACCCTGTCTCAAAAACAAAACAAAACAAAAACCCCACATATCTAATCAGCTTCCAGTCTCCCCTCCATTGTTTTCCCCCTCTCGAGGGTGAAGTCTAGAGCTGCAGTTGCTGACTTAGGTCCTTATGATCCGCGGCTGCCACCCCTTGCCTCTCAGAGCTCGTTCCTTCTCCCCTCTCTGTTCCTGTCCCCCCCTCCCCCCCCCCCCGCCAGTCTCACTGGTCTTTCTGAATAAGACAGAGGTGTTTACCCGAAATGCTCTTTCCCAGGGTGTCTGCAGCCCTCTTCTGTATTTCCCATAGACTGTGGTATCCATGCTTGGTGGGGCCTTCACTAAGTTCTCTGCTTACAGCTGCAATCCTTCCCCGCACCCACGCACCCATCTCTCTTCCTGTCTAGCACGGTCACTGTCTGTCACGCTATACCATGCTCTTGTGAGGACGTAATAATCCCCTTGCGGGAGGCTTGCTGAGTCCACAGCGCGTGGTGGAGGCCTAGTGAACTCACTGTGCGAGGGAATGACCGTCAGAGCTGTGGAAGCAGTCGGAGGGAGTGGTAAGATGACATGGGGCAGAGCAGCAGTCGTCCTGCTGGAAGGAGGAGGACGCAGGCAGCGTATATTCGAGAAGCATGCATTCTACTGCACACTGCTCTGAGCAGTGGAAAGATGGTCTTCGTTTTGAACTTAAATATTCTCTAGCCGGGTGGTGGTGGCTCATGCCTTTAATCCCAGCACTTGGGAGGCAGAGGCGGGTGGATCTCTGTGAGTTCAAGGCCAGCCTGGTCTACATTCTCATTTGTTTCTCCTGCTTGTTGGCCCTTCGGATTCCTCAGGAAGGCTCGATCTTCTCCTCATTCTCTCTTCCAAAGGAGGTCTGCGGTAGATTCCTTTCCTTTCTTTAAAGGACTTCTGTGGAGCCTACTCAGGAAAGTGATACCCTTTGAAAGAGTATATAAGAGTATATAAGGGTATATATAACTCTTAAAAATTGAGTTACTCTTTCTTTTCACAAATAGTATTCTAGACTCATGAGAACCCATAAATAAGTCAAAGACCCCAACTGAGGTGGATATAAAGGAGCCTATGGCTCAGGTTCCCGTGAGGACAGGAGACAACCTGATGCAGGGTTGACATGCGTGCTCCTGAGATGCTATGAGCAGTCTGCCTCAGTGTTCCTCCTGCCTGTTCTGTTCTTGGTGTTCGTTCATTCTGCTGGAGTCTGTTCCTTGCTAGTCCGCATGGCCCCAGACTATCAGCTGTGCGCAGGATATCTATTTCCTACCAGATTCCGAAGTGTCCACATTGACCACCATTGTCTGATCGAGTCTTGGTGATGGATTGTCTCATCTATGAACACTCCCAATATTACGATGCGAGCATCATTTCCCTTGGAGCAAAGAGGACTGAAGAGCAGAGAGTTGAAGAGATGTCTCCACACTCACAGCAAATTTAAAGAGTTTAACTGAAAATTCTTCTATTTAATCCAAAAAGCCAGTGTCCCTTGTGAAGTTTTTTTTTTTTTTTTTTTTTTTTTTGGTTTTTCGAGACAGGGTTTCTCTGTGGTTTTGGAGCCTGTCCTGGAACTAGCTCTTGTAGACCAGGCTGGTCTCGAACTCACAGAGATCCGCCTGCCTCTGCCTCCCAAGTGCTGGGATTAAAGGCGTGCGCCACCACCGCCCGGCCCCTTGTGAAGTTTTGTAAATTTAACCTTCTAGTCTCTTATTCTTTACTTCCCTTCATTTGTTTTTTTTTTTGTTTGTTGTTGTTTGTTTGAAACAAGACAATGTTTTTCTGTAGCTTTGGAGCCTGTCCTGGAACTAGCTCTTGTGGACCAGGTTAGCCTCGAACTCACAGAGATCTGCCTGTCTCTGCCTCCCGAGTTCTAGGATTAAAGGTGTATGCCACCACCACCTGACTTTTCTCTTCAATTCTTAAAGAAGAATCCCCCTCCCCAGAGAGCAGAAATCACCATGGACAGAAATATTAAATGTTTTGGATATTTAAGAAAAGCAAATGGGATGTTGAAGCCCCGGAGGGGAAGAGAAAGGAACGCTTAGAAGCTAGATAGCAGTGTGACAAGATGGGTGTGATCCAGGTCTTAAGTTACCACGGCAAGATCAGTTTCCATCCTGTCTGCTAGCTCTCTCCCTGCCTGAAGACTATATTGTAATTGGATGACCAGGTCATGCTCAGTCTTAGTGTTTAAGCCAAGGTTTAACCTCACAGTAACAGAGGACTTTGGCTTTCCACGGAGAGGGCCCTGAAGTGAAATGGTGAAATACAGTCCTAGATATTAGCAACTTTAGGTTTTGTAACAACATATAGAATATATAAATTAATCTGTGCCATTTGCCCCCTGGCCCAGAAAGCAACTGGATTTCTCTGGTTGCCTGGGGTATTTCTTAGCTTCTTAACAAAGCTGTTATGAACAATCATATTTCTTTTGGCTTTGGAAACCAATAGAAAAATGTTTTTATTACAAAAAATTAATTTTTTTCTAAGTATTTTTTTTTTCACTGTCTGGATGCTTTGGGTCTGTCTTCTGGGCTAGGAATATGTTGTTTTGTTTTAAATCTCTTCTCTGTCCTTGTAAGGCAGCTGATGTTGACTGCACGAGTTGCAAGCTGTCCTCACACACTCAAATAAATAAATATTTAGAAAAATAGTGATTTACTGTTTCTTGCCACTCAGACTTCTGGGTTTAAGGTTTAAGGTCTCTCCTTACCATTGTGACAGCAGAGGTGACAAGGTCTTGGGGCACACACAAAGGCACACACAATGTAGGCACAGCTATGAGTTCTCAGTAGGCCACGGATCACAAGGCCAGTGTGTGTGCTCTGTAGACAGACATCACCATACATCCAGCAACACTGCAGGGAATGCTAAGGACAGATAGTTTCCTGCTCTTTTCTAGCCTCGCCATCGAACATCACAGGCAGCAAAGTTACTCTAGTGTTGGCACTTAGAAAAATCACTAAAGACAAGTTCAAATATAGTGAATTGGGGCTGGAAGATGATTCAGTGGTTAAGGGCACCGACTATTCCTCCAGGGGACCTGGTTTCAATTCCCAACACCCACATGACAGCTCACAACTGTCTGTAACTCCAAGATCTGACACCTCCACACAGATATGCATGCAGGCAAAATACCAATGCACATAAAATAAATTTAAAAAATATGAATCAGCCAGTCTAAATGTCTGAGGAAGATTTTTGGAAATTGTTATTATCTAATAATAATAATAATTTGAAATTATTATTATTGATAATTGGACCTCTTCTCTAGATTAAAATCAAATCTCTGGGATGAGACCTTGGCATTGATAGTTTAAAAATCTCTCTAGAAAGCTAGGTATATATAATCCTATAATCCTAATAGTTGGTAAGGCTAAGGTGGGTTGCCATGAGTTTGAGTTATCCAGGACTACAGAATGAGACCTGTCTCAACAAAATAAAACAAAACGAAAACCTCTGGTGGCTGGAGAGATGGCTCAGAGGTTAAGAGCACTGACTGCTCTTCCAGAGGATCTGAGTTCAATTCCCAGCAACCACATGGTGGTTCACAACCATCCGTAATGAGATCTGGTGCCCTCTTCTGGCCTGCAGACATACATGCAGGCAAAACACTGTATACATAGTAAATAAATAAATCTTAAACAAACAAACAAACAAAAAACCTCATTAGTCTGACTGGCTGTTCTGGTGTGCACTGCACAGCCTAGGGTGCCTCAAACCCATGGCCATTGCCAGCCCTCTGCCTCAGCCTTCTGAGTGCTGTGGTTTTAGGTGTGAGCAACCATGCCTGACTAGAGTTATTTTCAGAACCACTGCTTGAAGTAGCAGCATTGTACACGCCATGGTATAGGGTGATCATAGGGAGCCCAGGATGCACTTGGAGTACCTGAGCACATTGTCATTTGTGCCCAAATACACATCTCTGGGGACAAAGTTCCTGCAAGTAGAGAGCAATCACATTTCCCCCATGTCTGTGCTAGGGACAAAGTCCAAAAGAAAGAAATTAATTCAAAGCAGAGGACTGAGGCTCCAAGGCCACATGTTTATTGGTATAAAGGAAGTGGAGACCTTCCTACGAGAGGGCTATGCATTCGGCACAGGTGGGCCCCTCCGTGGGAGGTCAAGGCAGCAATTTAAACTTTCCATCCCTCATATTATTACACTTGGTTGCGAGGGACAAAAATTCCAGTCAAACTAGATTGAAGGCAGAGGGAATTTATTGAGTCCTCCGGTTCCCAAGGTCTCTACAGAAGGAAGGAAGTCGTCCTTGGGATTAAAGAGGCTCACTGATGGTAGAGTTCTTTCTCTTCATCTTTCTCACCTCTCAATCTACAGGTAGATGTTCCTAGCAACTCCAATCCACAACAGAAAGCCAGCTGCCCCATGCCGTCCTGGAACCTTTCATTATTGGCTGAAATCATTTTGTGGGTGAGCGGGGTCCCCAGGACAGCTTTGGAACTGCAATTGGGAGGTAACGATTTCCTCACCGAGGAATGCTGGGTAGATAAAAGCACCTACTCACTCTTGTATCTTTGAGAGAAAGAAAATGAAGTGTTTCTCCTTCAAACTTGAATAAAAAACATTTCTGGGAGGGGGGGTAAGAAAAATGTACCCTAAGCCAAGAAGCTAGATAGCCTTCTGTGGTGAGGCGGAAAGAAGGGACAAAGGCGTGGGTGTCAAAAGTGGCGGCCAGATGAATTCTGGTTTTGCTCTCTCTTGTTCCGGTTGGAGGAGTTCGGAGGGATTGGTCCAGACCAGTTTGTCCAGATGCGGCAGCGTGCACATTCTGTGATGTCTACACTCTGGCTTGTCACCCAGGCGTGCCTTCACAGACTGCGCTGTCTACACTCTGGCCTGTCAGTCACCCAGGCCATGCCTTTGCTGGGGCGTGTGGCAGTAGCCTTTCTTAGCTTTCCTTTCCTTTTATGAAAAACCTCGTTTTCACCTCACCCCACTTGGGTGTCCAGGCTTTTCAGGGAAGGTCATCTGTGGACTCAGGGGATAAAGACAGACTCGGGGCTATTACTTCTGTCTTAGAGAGCCTGACCCTTGAATGTATAAAGACACGGGTCTTTCAGAGCTGAAGCTAGCATAGGTGTTCTGGATGTCACAGAACTACTGTCAATTTGTTTTTCTATGGAGCAATGTTGAGAGCACCCCGCCCCCCACCCCTGACATCTCATTTACAAGTTGTGGGGGAGTGAAGTCCAGTGGGAGGTCTGGAGTTGGGAGGTTGTCAACTGTGAACTGTGCTAAGCATTCTCATGAGAAGCAGTTCCACAAAGAGGTTAGGGACCAGGGCCTTCTGGAGCCACAGCGGCTGTTTCTCTTGCCAGGATTGCGTTCTTGTGTCACTGAGCTGGTTTCCCCATCTCTGTGAAGGGGACAATACTAGCGTCCACTTGGCAGCATTGTTCTGAGGAACGTGATCAGTACCCAGCACGCAGAGCACTTTGTAAAGATTAGCTCTTCCCTCCCCTGCCCTTGTTGACGGATTCAGATTACGTCCCAGTGTGTATCATAGGGCTTCTGACGTCAGCATGTGCTGCTGGCCCCTCCACAAGCCACACAAAGTACTGGAACTTTGGCCCCAGCTCCCTGGATGCAGATTCTCCTCCCGCCCCTGTGTGTAATATCCTGGGTGCGTGGAATAACCCTCGACGGGCTAGGCATGCCACAGCATCCGTTTTACTCACGGCACCAGGATGATCTCTCCAGACCCACTCACTCTTGTATGGGAAGAACAGTCCGTGATCGCCTGCTGTCCCGACACCCTGCCCAAGGGGAACAGACACAGGGAGGGTGGGGGAGGCCACCCAGGATCCACCCACGTCTTCCTTTGCCTCGCTGGTTGGCAGCGTTTCAGTAAATGAATGACATCCACCCTAGACTGAGACTTCTGAATCTCCTATTTTGTCCCTGTCTCGCTCCCAAGTTTTTTGCTATTCTGGATTTCAGAAAATAGTTCAGTTGCCAAAATTGGTTGAATGAGCTCCTTTTAAAATTAGTCAAGTGATGAAAAGTGACGCTTTGCCGGGTCGTTCCAACAAGCCCCTTTCACAGAAGTGTTCTGTGGAATAAGGTTTACAAAGTTAACATCAGACCTCCTCTGCCGTCCCTCCCAGGAGAACACAGACCTTCCCTAAGTCTCCCTCCATAAACCGGAGGAGCAAGGTAATCGAAAGCATGGGTCACTGGCAGGTAATCTCACACCAAGGTATCCAAAAGATGGAGACACCTGTCATTCCTCAGGTCCACAGTGTCCCTTTCTGGGCTTCTTGTGTGAGCCTCTCTTGGATGGCCTGAGGCTTTAACCTCAGCGATTTAATTTAAAATTGGTTCAGTAGCTCATGTTTATGGATAAATGGGTAAAACAGTAAAGATCAAAAGCAAAAAATAAAATTACTATGGAATTGAATATTTCAGAAGGCCGAGCCCAGTAAACGCTAGTGAAGTGTGGTGTTCGGAACGAGAGGCCCCCACTTATGATAATGCGCCTAACAAGGAAATGAGATTGACACAGCGATTCTGTTTCCCTGTCCCCCGAGGTTAGAGATTATGCGGGCCGTGTTGCCGTTTTTAGCTTCTTTAGTAATTCCTACAGTGAGAGACGACACTCTGCATATTTTTCACGTTGCTCTTCTGTCAGGTGCCAGGGTCTTTGAGGTAGCACAGAAAAGGCTCCTCTTCCCTGAGCTGCAGACTCCCTCCCTCCCTCCCCACCCTGCAGTGGCCCAGTGCCCCTTTGCCAGGGCTCATTTCTTTATTTATGTTCAGTTGCTAGGGAATTCCATGAGCCTGTCTAGCAACAACCGGTACTGGGTGAGATGATGTCTAAGGGAACCCTGGATTGATAATAGGTTTACAGTCATTCGATGCCTCAGTGTATACGCCAGGCCGTCCAGCAGGCAGGAAAAGTGAGTTCCCTACACAGAGAGCAGCATGGCGCTGAAGGAAGAGCAAACTGGGGAGGCATCTTTAAGGACCAAGCAGTGTGGATTGGGACCCACTGCTTCGTAATTGATGCTAACTGGGTACTTGGTAACAAGTGTCCTCAGTGAACCCCACTGTGTTAGTCGGGTTTCCCAGAGGAAGAGAACAGTCCCTTAGCTGGTAGGTAGGTAGGCAGATTTGACACGGTTTTATTGGCAGTTTATGATGGAACAGCAGAGGGCTTAGCATATTTTGTTAAGGAGATTAGAAGATACATTCTGATCTCCAAACCCGGGCTGTACTCAAACCGGTCCACTTAGGGTTTGAGTGATGTGCTGGCCAACTGCTTTATATTCCAAACCCTCAGGAAGGTTGCATGCCTGAACAGTGGTCTAGGAGCTGCTTCTAGGTGTGCCCAGGAGCACGTAGTCTACATCATGAAGCAACTTCACAGAAACTTTCTGGAAAGTGAGCATTTTGTCCTAGAAACTTCTCTACCATGTTACACTTCCCTGCCTTAAAAAAGAAGCCTTAAATAGTCCAGGTTCATTGTGGAAAAGGCAAAAAGGAAAATACAGCCACCAACGAACGCGTTACCCATAATACTTCTACCCACAGATGGTGACTATCAACACAGACTTACATTCATCTTGCTGCTCTTTTTTCTTTCTTTTTCTTTCTTTCTTTCTTTCTTTCTTTCTTTTCATTTCTTTCCTTCTTTTTTTTTTTTGGTATGGTGTTTACATGCTTAGCAAGTAAGGAATTCTGTCATACAGTTTGTCTAAGAAAAGTCCCCTCCCCCCCTTTTTTCGCCTTTCTTCCTAAAAATGATAGTGGTGGCTTAGAGGTGTGGACAGGGAACTGGCCTTTTTGAGTGTTGAGCAGTGTGGAGTGTTTTATTTACATTGCCCAATCACTCAGGACACCAGCCCAGGAAGCCAGCAGCCACAGTCTGAGGCCAGACTCTGTGGCACGTCTTCTATGCTCCCTTTGACAACCTCTTTGTCCATGGAAATTCTCTTCCTTGTTTTTCCTTTGTTTTCTCTGGCAGATACCTCCGATGGTTTTGGTCTACAGCTTTGTGAAGCTTTACCTGGACTTTGGTTTATTTTTGAGAGAAGGACTGTTATAGAGCTCTGGGCTCTCCCTGTGTCCTGACAGGATGATTCAATCTGGGAATCGTTAGGCCTCTTCCCCTCATTTATTTCTTCTCCCTTCATGTTTTTGTGTAACTCCACCCCCAGCTTCCAGCTGGACCACAACTAACTGATTTCTGAATTTGGTTCAGTGTTATTTTTAACTAAATCTCAATTGTTTGATTTTACCAATAAAGACTCAGGAACCAGATGTTGGGGTGATAGCCAGCTAGCTCAGAGAGCAGAGAAACCATCCAACTGACTGTCCTCCTCTGCTGACGTCCCAGAAGCCCCCGCCAAAACCTCTCAAACCCAGTGTCCTTCCCCTCTCCTTCCTGTGTCTTTCTATCTGTCCTGACTCCCTCCTGCTCTCTCTCTATTTTTTTATTATAATCCTGTGTTCACTTCCTGTAGACTGGTTGCTTTCTCCACCTCTTGACCTATGGTTGACTTTACTTATTTATTTATTTCAAGCAGAAAACTCTTGGATTAAAGGTGCGTGCTAGGGCTGAGCCACACCACAACTGAGAAACAGGTTTTCCAGTAAATAACGAAATCGTGGGGGTTCACAGTGTGAAGATTCCTGCAGCAGCCCAGGGTCTGTAGCTCCTAAGATCTGTGTGCAACCTCATGTTGGGAAGAGAGAGATTCTCTTCTTTATCTGTGCCATCTGGCCATCTCTGTAGTATGTTTAGGGGACAGAGATGCTGCTTGTGCAGTTTTGGAAAACGATGCCTCAGCTCAGCTTTGAAAACTTCAGTGGGAATGCTGAAGGTGGGTTGGTGGGTGTGGAGGAACATTCTGTAGCCCTGGCTGTCCTGTAGCCCACTCTGTAGACCAGTTGTCTCGAGCTCACAGAGATCCGCCTGCCTCTGCCTCCCGAGTGCTGGGATTGAAGGTGTGCGCCACCATACCCGGTTCTCCTTTTGGAAGTCTGGAGCTTCATTTTACAGCTTCCAAGGCCTATAGGATCACCACCAGAGTTTAACGAAGTGCCTTGGGTCACGTCCCTTCTCTGCTCAAGTATGGCGCTTTCCTTTCTTACTCAGGCCGCACCCAACACAGCACGTGCACATTTCTGTCCGTCCTTGATCTCACCCTCTGTCCTCATTGTGCACCATCATGTGTGGCTGTTTCTGGAAAAACCAAGGAATTCATGTTCTCCATTTGCTGACCCCTCTGCCCGGGCTTCTCCTTTGAGGCACACCACTCCCATCTTCAGCTCTGTTCAGTCTGTGGTTAGCTTCTCAGCGTCAGCTACAGAAAGAGATCAGGTGTCACCTTCTCAGTGAGACCCCCCAGATGCAGCCCCAAGTACCCAGAGCTCCTGCCTGCTTTCACCACGGTCCTACAATCCTTGTGAGCTATTGGCCTGTCCTCCCTAGCGTGGCAA